CTTCATCTTCTTAACAAGTACTACTTTATAACATATCCAACACGTGACCTTACATTGTCGTTAACACTGTATGCAAATCTCTCATTATCTGTTTGTAAGACATACATAAACTCTTACTTTTGTAACCAGGTAAAAATCTATTAACCCAGGTGTGTCCTGGGGCACAGTTGTAGATCCTGTCATAAATTTTGAATAGCGTATATATACTTTCATCCCGCGTCGTATTCAGATTTTCCTTGTTTGATATATCTGTCTTTTATTAAAACAATCAGTTTAAACAATTTGGAATGCATCCAGATCCTTACTATAGTCCAGAAATGTCCGATTTTGTGGACGTTACCCATCTCTTCCGCCTTGAATACATCACGCAGTTACAATTAGATGAAATGAAATGGGGTTTAAAGTCCAACTTTTCAACACCGACTGGGCTAACGAAGACGGGCATACGCCATGTAGTGTGCTGTAGAGTTTTGTTACTATATATAGCGCGCCAATGTGTACACGGGACTTCGATTTTTCGTGCCTGACAAGGACAGCTGTCTAGTCCTTCGGATGAGACGAAAAAAACCGAGGTCCCGTGTATACATTGGAATGCACGTAAAAGATCCTTTGGCAGTTGGAATTCGATATAAGAGTAGGCGATAGTGCCGCTGCCCGGGCAAAATTTCCCTCATAGCACACTGTATGGCGTATGCCCGTCTTCATTAACCCAGTATAGGAGCAGAACAGTAGGACGTTAAATCCCATTTCATTTCATTTCATTTCGATTTTTGGTCCTCCGAATGACTAGAGACTGTTCTTGTCACTACCAGACTTTCCTCCCTTTACGACTGACAAACGGAAACTACACCGGGAAATCCCGAGGAACTTTCTCGGCCAGTGAGCGAAGTCGAGACCTACTGGTTATTTAGCCATCGTCTTATCCACTGAGCCACCACGGCTCCCATGTAATTAAGCTCCATTAAGCTCCAGTCTTTACTTTGGTGGAATACTTTCCCCAACTACAATGGTAAATATTATCCATTTTTTTTTATTGTCGGGGCCTCGGCTTTTCGTCCCATCCGAACATCTATACAGCTGTCCTTGTCAAGTCCTTCGTCCTCCTGCGCCACTGAAAAGCGGAAACCACGTCGAAAAATCCCGATGCAGGGGTTGAAAACGCTCCTGTTGGGGTGTGGTTATTTTCCGCATCGTGTTCACATGAGTGGCTTTTTTATTATATTAAAAAAAAAATCGTTTGTCCGAAACTTTGAATTATATGATCTACAAGATTGGGGCATATACTTTTTATAATATTTAAAAAAAGTTGTTTTCCCATCATTAGTTTGGACTTGAAATTATTCTGAACTCAATGGACAAAGGCACCATTGGGTGAGCCGATTGTTTCCAGGGGAGGCAGTACCCGCTCGCTACGGGCCTGGAACTCTTCGTAAAATTGATATTTGAAATATTGATTTCGATGTTAAAAGGTCACTGATAGTCAACATTACGAAACACGCAAACCAATTACTCTTTTAACTGTTGGCCGATATTGTACGTATTGATTTAAACTAACAAAGTCATTGAGTGGAAGATTGTATTTGATCTATTCGTCACACTAAACATAAAACAACAAAAAATAACCATAACCGAAAAATACAAGATACAGGAGGCAAGGCATTAAATAAATCAGTTTTATGGAATTCCATTAAATCCATAAAAAAAGTACATTATCTTTAAATAATGGGGTAAAATTATTTTCTATGCCAGATTACATGATGCCAAAGGCAGTAGTGCATACTATAGCTTTTTATTGTAGGACTACACAGCATGTGACAGATTGGATTAAGAGCAGTTTTCTGCGGATTACTAATAATGTTTATTTTTCATATACTGTGACAATTTTAATTATCAACTTCTTTGTTGTATCAAAATTAACATCACTATAAAATCTAATAAATCGTGACCTAGAAGGGTTAATGTTCGCTCGTTCGTTTGTACGGCTTAACGTCCGCTTTCACCGAGGGTGATATCGCAGACATAGGCTTTGGATATTATCGTGTGTTTTCAGATTACCGCCCCCCCCCCCACTCACACCCATACTAAAGCCCCGTACACACAACCCAATTATTGAAATAAAGATGTAATATTTAAATATTAGGCCCGATATAACCTAAGGCGTTTTTATCGACCATTGATTAGAGAAAAGTGATTTGCATTCAATTAAATTTTCATCTATAACGTCCATCTAATCCAAATCGATTAACGAACTCCCCAGTGTACCTTGAAATCGACTAAACTGTCACATGACATCTCCACTAAATTCAAATCGATTTGGAAACTCGATAAAAAAAAACCCTCTCGGATCGTTAGTGCTGAGAGGAAGTTAAACCCCATTTCTCTTTTTCTAGTCATGACATATTAAGAAGATTTAGGTCAGAATGAAGAAAACGAGGCAATTCTAACAACAGTTAACAAGCATGCCATTTTATAAAATCATATATCACTTGATTCCGTGTACGTTGCCGTATTAAATATAATAGCGTATAAGTTCAATGCTTTATTGAAGGTTTAATAAAGCCGACAAAACAAGTTTCAGTGACCAATAAGAATAATTATATGAACGTGTTCTATATAAACAGTGATCACAGACAGAATACACCAATATAATAATAGACATAAAAATTGCCGCAGGCGATCATCAAACGTCAACACTTCACATAGTCTTAATTATGAATATTCAATGTTGGTGCACTGGGCGATGAACCAACCTTGTTTTCATCGTACAGTTAAATTAATAAAAGTGTTAATTGATAAAAGGTTCCATAGAAGTACATCGTGTTTTGGTTTATTTATTGACCGACTGCAACCCATTTTATTTTATTAAACACATGTGTGTTATTATTGTTTTTGTTTCATACATAATTTACCATACATAATGGAGGGGGGGGGGCAAGTGGTATAACGGTTTGGATTTACATCATAAAGTCTGTCATTGAGGTTAGTGGCGTGAATACGATCGATCCCACCTTGTTCCGCCTTGTGGATATTCAAGGCACTTAAAGGGAGGCAACACACTTCAACAGGATGTAGACTACCATTAATATTCCCATTTGCAATACATAATGTGTTTTCACCAGGGGCGTAACTAGCTCAGAGCAACGAGAGGGCGGGAGGTGTCCTCGGGGGTGTTGTAAAATTGACGGATTATATATATATATCTATTGTTTTTATGCTCGACAAGTTTTTCACTGGGGGTGGGGCTGGGGTTATAACGGTTTTGCTTTAGATCATAAGATCTGTCATTGAGTCAAGTGACGTGATTGCAATCGATCCTAAGCTTATACTTGCCCCGACTTGTGGGTATACGCTGGCTGGATAGCGAGGCTTGTGTGCTGCTGGATTATAATTAGCCAACGCACTTAAAGGGAGGCAACTCACCTCAACAGGATGTAAACCACCATTAATATCCCAATTAATTCTGGTCTTTTTGCCCGGCTCCAACTTTTTCTGAACTATTTGTTGGACTAGAAACTTTTCACTACAGACAGAGCAACTCCAATGGCCATTTCTTTGCTCCAAAATTTGAAGAGGTCTGTGATACACAAACTTGAATTAGCATACTAAAAACATGTAATTATCCGTCGTGCACATCACCGTACCCACCCTCTGTTATCCGTCCGCCTCTAAACTATGAGACGTTACCAAACCCTGGCAGAAAATGTTAATTCAAACTCTCTTCTTCGATTCTAGACCACAAAGTCAACAAACATGGCAAGGCAAAAGGGGGGAGTTTAACGTCCACACTGCAGCTGAACTGAATAACCTGACCATTGTGCCAGTGAGACATCGTGTAAATGTAACACTTTTGTAGAATTTTTACTCTTGAAATTAATGATGGCATTATATTGTATAAATTAATATCTTTGGCAAGTAATTAGATTCACATATATGTAGTATCTACTTAAATCAACTTAGTGAATGAATGACATTGTTATATAAAAAGAGGCATAATGTGATAAACATTCAATTCTAGGTTGATAACTTATATCTTGTGGGAAGTTTCTCCGGTATATTTCCACTTTCCATATAAGGGTAGGTTTCGACGTCATTAGCCTAAATTGACCAACCTCTTTGATTATTTACATCATATTTGACCAATTGGATAATTGAACGTCAAAACCCAAGCTACAAAACTATCATATTTGTGAGAATTCGCCAGACAGCAGCTTAATTCTAGATGGGAAAAGATGTAGCAATTTCTATCAGCAGACTCGCCCCAGCGAGTCTGGCTGACTAGTGTTTGATTGTTATAACTACGTGCCCCCCGCACCCCAGCCCCAGTGAGACTGGCCATCACTGTTCAGACCAGCACCGACAGCCAGCAATGGATTCTCAGATTTTAGTTTCTGTTTAATGAGGCCGCGACGAAGACTCTGGGGACTACACCAAACCACTAATGCATGCGGCACTCTGATGATTACCTGGATCCGGGCCTGACACCTTAGAATTTAAGTAACCAGGAAGTGCTTAAAACAATAGAAGAAGCTTTGTCTGGCAGATTTTTAGGTAAGGGGTGGGTCTCTTTTCCGGGGCTAGGCTAAGGGCTATCTGCTGTGATGATTTAGCAACTATGGCGCCTGGTCCATGGTGATTTTTAAGTTGGAGTATGCTGAGTTTACCATCCATTTTGCATATTCAAACGTTCAAAATCTAGCTGTCCCCCGTCACCTCAAATACGACAATGACTTCCACGTGTTAAATTTCAGTTCCTTCTGTCAGGGGATATTTTACGTGCACGCCTAGGTGTACATTTGACCTCGGTTTGTTCGTCTCAGGCTAGTCTTGAACTACTGCCAAGGGGGGAAACCAAACTGAAAAGGCCCGAACGGAATTTAATAATATTTGTACGAATTTATTGCAAACAAGTAAATAAATCATTTATTTTAAATAGATAAATATTAATAAATATTTAACAATAAATAGAATAAGTTATTCAAGTTCCAAAAATAATCCTACATGTTCATTAATGTTTATGCTTCGTCACCCTCTCCTTCTTCTTCGTCAAATTCTCCTTCCTCTTCAGCTGTAGCATCTTGATATTGTTGATATTCAGATACCAGATCATTCATGTTGGATTCGGCTTCTGTGAATTCCATCTCATCCATACCTTCACCAGTATACCAATGGAGGAAAGCTTTTCTTCTGAACATAGCAGTAAACTGTTCAGAGATTCTTTTAAACAGTTCCTGAATGGCGGTGCTGTTACCAATAAATGTGCCGGACATTTTCAGACCTCTTGGAGGAATATCGCATACAGCTGTTTTGACGTTGTTGGGGATCCATTCAACAAAGTAACTGCTGTTTTTGTTCTGGACGTTCAACATTTGTTCATCCACTTCCTTCATGGACATACGACCTCTGAACATGGTAGCTACTGTCAGGTAACGACCATGACGAGGATCGCAGGCGGCCATCATGTTCTTGGCATCAAACATCTGTTGGGTGAGTTCAGGTACAGTGAGAGCTCTGTACTGCTGGGAACCTCGAGATGTTAGGGGAGCAAAACCAGGCATAAAGAAATGCAGACGCGGGAAAGGTACCATGTTGACAGCAAGTTTTCGAAGATCAGCATTCAATTGGCCAGGGAATCGTAGACAGGTAGTCACGCCAGACATGGTGGCTGATACCAGATGATTCAAATCGCCGTATGTAGGTGTGGTCAGCTTCAATGTCCTGAAGCAGATGTCGTAAAGGGCCTCGTTATCTATACAGTAGGTTTCGTCTGTATTTTCTACCAGTTGGTGGACTGATAGAGTGGCATTGTAAGGTTCAACAACTGTATCTGATACCTGAAATTTTAAAGGCAATATACATTTTAGATTGGTCATTATATTCAGGCCCGGCGGAGTGGGTGGGGCTGGGTGGGGGGGCTTTAGTCCCCCCCCCCCAATAATTTGGCCGCAAGTACTCTTTTCTCCGGGTTATTGTGGCCCCTGGACCCACGCCTATAAGGATCTAGGATGGAAACCCCCCCAATCAAGAATTGCTTCCGCCGGCCCTGATATTATGCTTGGTATGATAGGAAATAGCGGTGCGATTTAAACTTGCAGATGATTTATGATATAATATACTGAATTTATAAGTATATATGAATTTCATTGATAATAGAAAAACAATTTGTAGTCCAAACTAATATAATTGATATTATTCCTATGGATTATGATAAATATAAATGTGTATTTAGAAAGAAAACCAAGACAACTCACCTTAGGTGAAGGACAGACAGAGAAGGTGTTCATGATTCTATCTGGATATTCTTCACGAATTTTACTAATGAGGAGGGTTCCCATACCAGAACCAGTTCCACCACCAAGAGAGTGGGTCAGCTGGAATCCTTGTAGACAATCGCAGCTTTCAGCCTCCTTACGGACCACATCTAGCACAGAGTCGACTAATTCAGCACCTTCGGTGTAATGACCTTTAGCCCAGTTGTTACCAGCACCAGATTGTCCAAAGACAAAATTATCTGGTCGGAAAATCTGACCAAAAGGGCCTGAACGTACGGAATCCATGGTACCGGGTTCCAAATCAACGAGAACAGCTCGGGGTACATATTTTCCTCCTGTAGCTTCATTGTAATAAACGTTGATTCTTTCCAACTGAAGATCTGAATCACCGTGGTATGTTCCAGTAGGGTCGATACCATGTTCATCAGAGATCACTTCCCAAAACTAAAATTAGAATAATGTACATGTAACACACAACATCAACATCTGCTTGACGAAAATCATTATTATTTATTCAAAACATTTTCAGTGTCTGGCTCAGTAGCACCAACCTGTCGGCATTGCCTTTATTTATTTTTTTAACAACAACAACAGTATCTCTAGTTAGTGATTACATTTTGGTTATTATCCATAGAAAAAGTCTTTGTATATTCTAGTAGAAACCATGTTGGCATGTTCCTGAAGCAACGACCGCTTACAGAGTTAAAGCGAGATCAAGCCTTCTCTTGAAGATGAGTGGACACTGGATTTGGCATCGCACAAAAAATTAATATCTAGCCTATATATCAGTTTCACGTTTACATTTCAAAGTAAAAATTTGAACAATGCAATAATGTGCGATACTAGAGAAATCAGACAAATTTTAAATTAGCCAGATTAGGAATCGGCTAATAAAAATAACGTCATCTTTGAATTCGATGTCTTGTGGTATTCAGTGTGTTTAGACATTCACGGTTCGAGTGCTATATCGAGATTTAGATTTTCTAAACACACTTAACTGAAACACCTCTATTAATTAGTGAGGTTTAACATCCACGCCAGTCCAATGAGACTTTGGTCAGCTAAAACCATGTAAATTATATGTTTAAGTCTTACCTTAGCTCCAATCTGGTTGCCACATTGGCCTGTTTGCATATGTACGATTTCCCGCATTTTTGAATTGGTGTAGGATATTATACGGTTAGTAGAAGTGGATGTGGTGACACTAGAAGTGACTGTACTGAGATAGGATTTTACCCCTGTTTATATACACAACACTGTGTAATGTTCACCATAACTACGATGTTGTCCGTAGTAACTATTCTCATTAAAACTATCGTTTAGTAACGGGATAATCCTAATAATCGGATTATCGTTAATAGGTGCGATAACTGCAAAACTAGTAGACCGAAGTCATAATAATTAATTAACCGCTGTTACGTGGCGCAAACACAAAGTTATGGGAAACTGTATTTTTAGTATAGCCCTACTTGCCGAAGCTATGAAATATGTCCTGATTCATTTCCAGAAAATGTGGATTATATACTTTATTACTCTATTAGAAAATACCGTAACAGTAAAAGAAATGAAAAGGTATAAAATTTTGAAAATAAAGTCAACTTCACTCACTTCACTCAGCCCATTCCCTATATAAAATGGAGAAAAGAGAAATGACCCCCCCCCCCCCCCCTACCCCCCACAAAAAAACCCAACCCTAAACAAATAAATCATTTAAGAATAACTTTGTTCTTCAACTGTATAGTATGTATGTATTATGTTGTGTACGTGTATATATTCTATGTAATGTACTTTATAAAGCAAATTAAACGTGCTTAGGGCACCAATCAAAGGGGTGGGGCGCATAGTTTGTTTTTACACTCCCGGATATACGAATATTAATAGTGATAATTTATTACTAGTATTAATACAGTACTGAAGAGAACAACGGGTTTTTGGGGTTTTTTTTAGTTATGACCACTAAAGGTGTTAATCCTATCCTATATACTGTCCAACCTCGTGGTTTTTCTCCGGGTCCTCCGCCCCCCCCCCCCCCCCTCCACTGCTAAAGACCCCTACGCAGAAGGGAATTATTGAAATAAAATTGAACCATATGTTAGTCCCGAAATGACCTGGTTTGTGTCGAGTGGACGTACCCCCCCCCCCATCCCTCCCTCTCTCTCTCTCTCTCTCTCTTATATACTGTCTAAATTTAAGTGTACGTGGTCTGTAATGATGGACGTCTTCATGCAATAAATATCTTATCTTGTCTTATCTCTGCTATAATTTTATCCTAAAGGAGGCAAGTCGCTAACTCAATGTCACGCAGTCGTCAACATTGCAAACACGACGTATTGGTCAATTTAAATGAACCGAGAGAAGATGAGCTTCTGATATCCAATATTTAGACAAAATGAACATTTTAAAATTGGCACACGAATCGCGTGCTAGCGTGCTTTCGAACGCCATTTGTAACGAAGAAAGTAGATGAACGAGGTTAAATATATCCCATATATGTAGACTGGGATAACCAGACTCCAAAGACATAACATAACTGACTAGAAATTACAGTAATAACAGAAACTATTGAATTTAAATCAGTTTATATCAATTCACATTACATTATTAAATGCGTTGCGACCCATTTGTGTCCATTTCTACTTCCCAAAGAATTGAGATTTAGCTCCTTTTTAACCCGTGTGTACTGTTGTGTTTTTCCATTTAGCCTAGTCTCATCTTGAGATGTCAGTGGGCCTATATAATATGAAGACTGTCCCGGACCCGGTTATGTAAAGTGAAATAAAATGGGGTTTATTGTCCCAATTTTCTGCACCAGCCAGGCTAATGAAGACGGAATGCAGTGTGCAATGAGGGAAATTTCGCCGGCTTTTTATCGAATTTCAACTGCCAGGGGATCCTGTAGACAGGATTTCGGATTTTATCCCATCGGGACGATTAGTTGTCCTGTCTTACTGATAAGGGGATACCACGCCGGGGAAATCCGGAGGAAAGAAACTGGTTCGACATTAATTATTCTGAACGCTATATTCCGGGCAATAAAGGGAGATAAATAATCTTCATATTCAAGGTGACAACAAGATGCATATTTGTATGATTCTTGGTCATGAATGAAGACGTACCGTAGTGTACATGTAAAGTAAAGTAATAATAAAACACATCCAAAAACATTCATTTAAGACCACCAGTTGTTTAAATGTGATATAAAAAGAAATTTCAGAGCGAGAAATCTTTGGAGGCAGACCACCATTAATTTCCCCATTGACTCAATGTTAATTCTGGCCTCTTTGCCCTGCTCCAACTTTTCCCCAAATTTTCATTGGGCTGAATGCTTTTCACCACAGACAGAGCAATAAATGGCCATGTTTTTGCACTAAATTTATATGAGGTTGCCTACCAAGATTTTGAGAAACACAAACTTGAAGAAGCATACTAAAAACATGTAACTATTCGCCGTACATATATATCACCGTAACCAACCTGATAACTCTGCATGTTATCCTTCAGCCTCAAAATCATGAATATTTACCAAAACCTGGCAGAAAATGTTAATTCAAACCCTCTACGTCCATTCTAGACCAAAAGATCAACAAAAATGTGCATGCCAAAGCGCAGAAAAGAGACAGAGAGAGAGAACTGCTATAAATAGACGAGCTACAATTTGTGAAATTTAATGGTAGTCTGCTCCCTTTGATTGAATAAATAAGAGTTGTTTCCCTTTAGTGCACATTTTCTCCATGGCATTGCCATCATAGAACTGTACTAAACGATCTATGTTGGCATTAATAACTGCCAGATTCGAAAGATTACCAATAATTTTAAGTATGAGGGTCCATATACTGCTAAAGACCCCTACGCGCAAACGAATTATTGAAATAAAATTTAACCTAGTTTGTGTCAAGTGGACATTAAACACTATCTCTCTCCCTCTCTCTCTCCCTTTCTCTCTCTCTCTGAATGCAGCTTGCAACAATCTGTTTAGGTGATCTCGGTATTCAGGTCGGCATAAATAGAGTGAGATTTCGCCTTTGGTTGCAAAACTAGGCCCTATAGTATTGGACAACTTTAAAGTTGCTCAACTAAAGGCTCTGTGGGCCTAATGATTGACTGGGCTATATTTGAGAGAGAGAGAAATGGGGTTTAACGTCCACTCGACACAAACCAGGTCATTTCGGGACCAACATATGCTTTTTAATTTTATTTCAATAATTCGCTTGCGCATAGGGGTCTTTAGCAGTGGGAGGAAACCGGACGACCCGGAGAAAACCCACGAGGTTGGACAGGCGACCCTACTCCTTGTCACGTACAACCGGGGATTCGAAACCACGCCAGTCGACTCAATGACAGACTTTATGATACAGCGCGCGCACGCTAACCATTCAGCCATCCAACCCCCGGGCTATATTGGAAAATGTTGAAATTGCTGTAGGCCCTATTCACCGGCTAGAATAGCAGTGAAACGCATTTGCGACCGTTAAATTTTCTCCTTATGGTCGCCTCTTTGTGGACTGTAAACGATTCAATACTTGAATGGAATTCAGATCAGCCAACTATAGTTAGGCTATAATTAATAGATTACTTTGAAGTTGTTGTATTCACGGGCTGAAATAGCAGGAAAACGTGTTTATCCGTCTGTCAAATTTTCCAAATTCCGCGCCTTTAGTGCTTGCCTGTGACCGGCTATGAGGTCCGTGTGTAAACAGGAATTTATTGAGGCATTTCAGGTCTAGGCCTACTTCCCTAACATTCCTCAGACCCATACACCTATGATAAGATAAGATAAGATGTTTATTGCATCAAAACGTCCATGAAGGACAACATTCATACATAGATATAGTCGTATGCATTCAATAATACATACCACATATAGACAACACTTATACATTCATACAAATGTACATGTATATCAAATAGTAAGTGCAGTGGGGGTCTTCCATACAATGATTAATTTTTTTTCTGAAATTTGGTTTCTGGCCTCAAAACGTAAATGCACTGGGCTAAGAATCCCTATAGGCTACCAGAGTAGGAACACCTTTAGAGCTAACAAGAGATGTCGATCTCGATAGGACATAGTTAGTGGTATGTATAGATAGGTAGCAGGCAACATGTAAAAGATTTGGCTAAAGTGCAGACAAATTCCCTTTTCAGTTGTATTTCTAAAAAGAATCCTATATTAGTCTTTAAGAGAGAGAGAGAGAGAGAGAGAGGAGAGAGAGAGAAAATGGTTCAATTTTATTTCAATAATTCGGTTGCGCGTAGGGATCGTTAGCAGTGGGAGAAAACTGGAGGACCCGGAGAAAACCCACGAGGTTGGACAGGCGGCCCTACTCCTTGTCATGTACAGCTGGGGAATCGAAACCACGCCAGTTGACTCTGTGATAAACCTTGTCATACAACACGTGCGCTATCCATTCCGCCATCCAACCCCAGCCCTATACTGGTCTTTAAAATGAACCAATAAATACCAGTAACTCAATGAAGCAGTATGAAATCTGTGCATGATTCTATTTTCCAGCACTCTACCGGTAATTAATTAGTTTATCCAATCTGATTAAAACACAGATCATATTTCGTTTCGCTTTTTTTTTAGTTCAAAATTTTGTTTTACTTGTCTTTACTACATTAGGATCTGGAAGAGTTGTTATATTACCGGAGATTTGGTTGAAGTGAGCGATAAGCCAATGAAATGGTCTGTTATGGCGACTTCTTGGCGTGCAATGCACGGAACTGTGGGTAAACCACTAGAAACGTCAACGCTGATTGATTAATCAATATCTTACGTCATAAGCCGCTCGTACGACACTTGACATGACCTTCGAGTACAAATTGTCGGATCTTCATGTAGTGTAATTGACCATCGAAAGTATAAAAAACGAAACGAAATATAGATCTGTATTTTAATCAAATTGTTAGTTTATCAAGTAAATGAATACATTTCAAGAAGATTGAAAGAATGAAATCCGGCATTTAGCAATAAAATAGCCACTATTTGTCTGCGTGTGTACAAATTTATAGGTATCTCTAAGAAATTGCTCAATATCTGCGAGTTGTTAACTGTAAGCTATTTGTGACCTGACGAATTAGGGTGAAACCACTGAAACCCTATCATCTTTTTACATTGAAAATTTATCATTTGGAAGGAATTTGGTATAAAAGCAAATGTATCTTTATAGGTCAAATGGCGATTAATCCTTTCTGATTCAAATTATGCAATTGTTCTACCCCCTAATTGTATAAATGCCTATGTAATAATTACAAGAAGACCTGTTTCCCCATCAATTCAACTCCACATTATTAAAAAACGACAAATGATATTCCAGTTCCATTGTTAAGTAACTTGCCCAGAGATAAACCTCTTTCAGTGGGAATTAATCAATCTTAAATATTAATTACAAATAACCTCTCTTGGGTAACTCTACCGATTGCACAAGGTTTAAGACTATACAACATGCTAGTAATTATTGAATATGTTAAGGAATGTCGATTTGATGGATGACATCATGGCATTGTTGCAAAATTGCACTTTGTTAGACACTGCAATCTAGGATACTAATGATGTCACAATATTAAAGGGCCACCTGAATTAGTGCTAATTTTTTTATGATATAATATTTATGATTTTATTTATTATATTGTATAGGTTTGTATCTATTGTATCTACCATACTGGCATACAAATTGTATTTGTGTGAGGTGACAGACAATGACCAGAATACACCCACTTTTCGGGGGTGGGGGTTGGATGGCTGAATGGTTAGCATGTGCGTGCTGTACCATAAAGTCTGTCATTGAGTCAACCTGGCGTTGTTTCTATTCCCCGGTTGTACGTGACAAGGAGTAGGTCGCCTGTCCAACCTCGTGGGTTTTCTTCGGGTCCTCCGGTTTCCTCCCACTGCTAAAGACCCCTATGCGCAAGCAAATTATTGAAATAAAATTAAACCATATGTTAGTCCCGAAATGACCTAGTTTGTGTCGAGTGGACATTAAACCCCATTTCTCTCTCTCTCACGCCCCCTTTTCACTGCTTATGCAAGGGCCCCAGTGACAGTTTCAGCCAAGCAAACCCAGCCCTGGGAAGACAATAACATGGGGAAATAACCAAAATAAAACAATACCATTCTTCATCAAAACATTTATTGAAGTAATATATATTTACATGTTTGCGAACAAAGTTCTTTCTGTACAATATAATATAATATTTTCAATTTATCGACACATTATCAAGTTTACATGAGACTCTAAATTGTGGTTTTTGTGTTTAAGAGTAACACAGTCATGTACACTAAAGTATAGATTATAGCACTATTGTAGCAATACTTTAAAGAGAAAAAAAAACATTAGTTCACTTACATGTATCTTATATAATAATTTAATAGCAAAGCCTTCAGCTATAGCTGTAAGACTTCCAAACAACAAAGACTTGGTCATGAATGTAAAAATGTACAATTGCTTAAAACATGTCATTTTTTTGTGATAGAACACTAATGAGATGGATTCATTTCCAACTGGTGATTTCTGTTCTTTAAAAGATAGTAAATAAGTCAGCTGGTTTTGTATGTGAAGGGATTTAATTTCAATTATTTTTTTAGAAATGTTGCAAATACAATATCTTAGATATTTGTAAAAAAGTGTTACAAATAGTATATCTTGGATATTTGTACAAATTTGTAATATTTTATTTACAAACAAAATCATGAAATATGTGTAAGTTTGGAAATTAAATGCTTTCACTGGGTCAACTTTGATTGACAGTAAAGACATAGTGTAAGTAATGTACATGTATACTTAAACAAAGTAAAGAGAAGGATCAATAATAAATAACATTTTAAGTTACAATTTGAATGTAAGAATTGCTCCAGTTTGAGCATAAATGCACATATTTATATATATTTATATTTTTATATCACTATAATACAGCAAATATACACCATAATATAAGTTGTTACTTTTTAATCTAAATCTACGGTCTTTAGAGCATCGGATGATATTTTGTTTATACTGTACACAATAGCACCAACGTTTTTGATTAGCTTTCAGTCAGATAGTAATAGGTAGAGATTCTCAACACAGGGCTTGTACAGAGTCACACATAAAATACTTACTGTGGTGTAGTTTAAACCAACACAATCCTTCACAAAAAAGCATCAATTTTATCTAATAATTTGTTCAATTTCTAATAGTAAGAAACAGGGCCGTAACTAGCTCAGAGCAAAGAGGGGGTCGGGAAGTGTTCTCAGGGGTGCTGTAAAATTGACGGACAATGTGAGAAATCTAAAAGATTTATCATTATCAATGCTGAAAGTTTGTACCAGACACTTAACTTCTACTAATTTCTGATATTAACAGTATTTAGGTTACATACTAGATTCTAGGGATTTAGCATGCTGATTATTCATTTTTTCCCCCCAATTACCCCAAACTATTACAACCTTATCAATTGTTTCATGACTCCAGCCCAGTAGGTCAAGTAATTATACACCTATTTACTTCATTGACTAGAATGTTTCATTCTTGAGATATACGTACGGTAGATAGGCCTAAGTTATATCTATACCTAGGCCTACATACAAACTGACTGTAACTTAAAAGTATATACAATATTTAAATGAAGGAAATAAAATCATGTTTGTCAGCTAATATGTGCTAAGTATAAAACTCATGAATAAGTTAGCAGCTAGAATATTAAATTAAGTCATGTACACTTTATGTAGAGTAACTGTTTGTAAAACTATACAAAATGCCTTCTGTTCTAATTACCACGAATTAAACAATTAATATATTTTTAGCAATGATCACAACTGCAATATCACGATATAAACACAAATGCATGTTGACTAACGTGATATTTAAAGTCACACAAGCGTTTTCGCATTTGCACACAGAGTAACATAAGGCAAGCAGCTGTATAATGTCCAAAGGTTTAACATGTTTATATGTTACAGTTAGGTTATTCTTCTTCATCTCCAAACATATAATATTTGCATATTTGGTTTAAGCTGAACTGTTTAAACATCAACACACACATATTTATGACAATATATGTAATAATAATGAAGCTTTTTTTTTTTTCTTTATCAAATGTTTGATATGTACTTATATGTTTATCAAATTAGAAAACATGGTCGCCATGTTGTCAATGCAAAATATTGCATAGTCCAATATCCAATCTTAATAGACTTTTATGAAAACTAAAGGATAAGATTGATCATAGGCATGATTGCAATTGAATATATTAATATAGAGGCACATATATCGTGTTTAAATCTGCATTACTTAGTATAAATGTAGGCTAGTTGCTTGTCCACATTGGAAGCAATGCTAATTATAGTGTTCGTGTTAACAAAAATGGAGTTAGCTCCCTTCTTTCATCAAATCATGAGTGGCTATTGTCTACAGCACACAAACCCGATTCTCTATCTTGTCCATTGCCCTCTGTAAATTTTAACGTTTCTTCTTTCTGGCAAATTTTTGATGGTGTTGGCACAAGCTCTTTTTAATTGTTTTTTACAGAACACTCACAAATTCACATACACTGCATGCCTCCACATTTCAAACTATTTTAAGTAGTTTACATTTGTCATTATTACCAAAAAAAAACTTTGTTTGGTGATTTATAAATATTTAAAGCCTTTGTAAGATAAAAAGTTTAAAGGCTTTGGGTGGGTTTTTAGCCTTCATATCTTTTAATGTACTTGGTACATATATTTGTCGTCTTTATAATTCCACACAATTTGTGCCCAACTGCACAGCAACACTTATCACAATGAATGTCTATACAGATGTATGTATATATATATATATATAATATAGTATCCGTGTTACTTCATAGCAACATCACAAGTCATTACAGCAGAAATGTAGTTCATCATAACCACGATCCCATGTCTTTTTCAAGCACTGCAGCCGCATCCATGCGACCCATAACACGTAAAATGTTCATTAAATCTGTCACTGCAGTTTCCTCACGATGTCTAGCTTCCCACAAGTCTAGAATATGTTCTGTTGGGCTAGGTTTAGTTGCGAAGAAAATGATGTACCTAAAAGATCAAAAAATAAACATATTTAATTTTCAAATACTTAATTTTGCAGTTCTTAATTTTCAAAATAGTAGACACTTTCTAATTGCCCCCTCCCCCCTGCGACCCATTCTAACTGGTCTCCCCCTGCATCCTCTCCTTCTGTTCTGGCCTGATCCTCTTAAAGTAAACCATAAGGCCTCTCATTGAGTCAACTGGCGACGAATCCCCGGTCGTACGTGACAAGGAGTAGGGTCGCCTGTCCAACCTCGTGGGTTTTCTCCAGGTCCTCAGGTTTCCTCCCACTGCTAAAGACCCCTACGCGTAAGTGAATTACTTAAATAAAATTAAACCATATGTTAGTCCCGAAATGACCTAGTTTGTGTCGAGACCCCATTTCTCTATCTCTGTCTTAAAGTAGAGCCCTTCTGGTATCTAAGTAGAATATACAAAACACCCTGTCTGTTACTGTCATGCTGTCAATGTTAACAGTGTATACTGATAATTAAAACAGGTGTACTCTTTAGTTTCCGTTAAGTATGACTATATTAATTATACCACCAAAAATACAAACTCTTGAGAAAAGGCCAGATAAAACATTTAAAGTTTGATTGAAATTGAACAAACTGATAAGGAATAGAAATTAGCACTTAACACAGTTGAGTTACGATAATAATATATTAAACAGCCTTTCAGACAGAGTCACATAGATGTACATATATCCTTGTTTCTTTTTGATATCTACCATCTCTTGTTATAATGCCTGATATCTGAATGGGTTAATTTTAGACTGGTGAAGCACTGGATCCCTCTCTTAGTTCTAAAGTAAATGATAAGTCTTGTTTAAGCAGTGTATGGTCACTTAGTACAATATCTCATATCACTTAGGGACCAGAAACTGGGAACCAATCGCTACATGATGTTCTTGTTCTAACTTCTTGGGAGTGATGCTCTTCAAAAAACCCTAGGGTCTGCCAATTCAAGCGTGATTGGCATGGCACTTGTATTGGAATGCTTGTTCCTTGGACAGACTTTGATTTTTGATATGACATCACAATTCGAAGATGGCGGTGATGATGTCATGCTAAATTCCTGGGGAATGATCACTAGTCCATGGGTTCACTAGTCCACGGGTTCATTAGTCTACCGATATCTATTATTAGGGTTAGTGTTCATTAGTCTACCGATATCTATTATTAGGGTTAGTGTTCATTAGTCCACCGATATCTATTATTAGGGTTAGTGTTCATTAGTCCACCGATATCTATTATTAGGGTAAGAGTTGGGTTAGGGTTAGGGTTCATTAGTCCACTGATTTCTATTATTAGGGTTAGGGTTGGATTAGGTTTATTGATACCCATATTTATAGTATTTCTTATAGCGATGGACTAGTGCACCCATGGACTGGTGAACCCCTCACAAATTCCTGGTCTGTACTTGTTATACTCAATGACAACACAGCATCCTTGAGTTATATCATACATGTCTCAATTAGGTGTATTTTTTTTTTCAAGATATGTCTGAGCATATGTAGAACATCGATGTAAATCTCTTAACAAACTCTTCAAACAATGCAGACAATTCTTGCCAGAGTAAGTAAACAATTACCTACGACATCTACTCATCTCTTTACACACCTATACTTTGTCCTTTTTAACAAATTAAAACAATTTAAATTGTACAGCAGGTTGTCTGTACACACCAGACAAGATAAGTAATGTTTTGTAAGGCTGGTACATTGTAGGTATGAGAAATATAGACAAAGAACAAACGTGATATGTAGAAGGTAAAAAAAAGACAGCTTATCCACCCACCTATCTACAGTTAAAGCTTGGGCCAACATTCTCCAGTCATTTCCTCGAGCATTTGGTGGATCTAACAACATACATAACTGATGGCGGATATGGGGAGGAAGTCTGAAAATAAAACATCCATATACAATTAGAAATATTAGGCAGATGAGATGCTAATCAATAATACCTTAAGTATTTCATCAGTCAACCTGTATTTTTTAGCCTAAACAAACTTCAAAATAGAGGGAAAAATGATATATCTGTCTATAGAAGCCCAAAATCTTCAGGTGCACTATCAAAAAGAAAATAATGTTAGCACAGCAGACGGCTAATATAGAGGGTGCCGTTTTTTTAACTTTCAGAAAGACAGATAGTAATTTGTTATGATAATGTTGAAATATTCGTTTTGATGTATAGTCTAATATTTCCCCTTCAAGACATCGCTTGTGTTTTCAATGGGCGGATCTGGGTAAATTTTACCCAAATTATGGCTCACGGAGCAAAAGTTTTTGATTGCAATGCTTGATAGATGTTCCCTCAAGAGTTAGAGATTGATGCCAAAGAACTCCACAAACTTTTATCAAATTGTTTTTTCTACTTTCTGTAGATACGGTAAGGATTGATCTATAACTTTCGAATGAATGATATACAGTATATTTGTTTATATAAATACTCTTTATATATATGATAATGTAAGTGGATATATGTACATATGTTTGTTAATCATATATTTAACATAGGCATATATATATATATATATATATATATATATATATATATATATATATATATATATATAACATAGCCTCTAGTTAACCTAACCAGCAAATCTTTGTTCAAAATAAAAGCCTTTTTTAAGGCTTGTGGAAAACAAAATGAATAAGAATTATAAAACATGTGATAAAGACAGAGTAAAGTGATAGAACAGCTGTTTAAAGGAGCCTATAAAACATCTTGGCCTGTCAAAAACTCAAGTTTTCTGCCTTAGTTCATGAAAAAAACTACAAGCAAAAGTCATGAGATCACCAGTTCTTGACATTACATATTGTGTTTCTCTATGCTTTGTGGAAATGTTTAATACCCAGCATTCAGCCCTTTACCAGACCATACACACTGAATAACAATATTACCATATGTATGTATGATGTTTTGATGGTAAAAACAATCACTCACCTAAAAACTTGGGCTGATGGATCTAAAGCCACCATTGAACTGAACCCAGAACTAACTGTAGAGTTGGTTGTTACTGTCGATGTCCTGCCCTTTAACGTAGACGAAGGAGTTACACAAGGCGGTAGTTTCTAAAAATAGAAATATGAGATTTTTCCAGACTTAGTTTAATTAGCCAGTGATTACAGACACGGTATTCATACCCGTCCAAGTATATTAAATATTACTACAATTGATTAACTCTAATAATGCATATTCCAATGAATAGACGTCAATATATATTGATTTCTAACAATGTCTGCTTCCTGCAAACCAGACTAATTAAGAAAGCTAATTATGCAATAAAAGGATCTCAGCTACAATGGAAGCAACCACATGAGGTAGCCCTATGTTTTCTTGACCATGTTAAAAGCTAAAGTATTGTCAGACATTTTATACCAGTAAATTGTTCTAATACTTAAATATACATTATGCAAGAGCTGAAATCTGCCTATTTCAGGTCTTTCTTTAGGCCTGAAATGTTATCTAATTTATTATTTAGACATTAAACATGCATTATGCAAGAGCTAAATCTGCCTATTTCAGGTCTTTCTTTAAGCCTGAAATGTTATCTAAATTATTAATTAGACATTAATTAACCTATCCAGGCCATAATCAACTCTAGATGGCTGCGCTAGCCTGCGATCTTTAGTGGATTGTAAGCCGATTTACTGCATAACTTTCCTTCTCATTAAATGGATAATCGAGACTATGCTGTTTATCGTACTGACTTTAGTAATGATGACCGAGGCTTATGGGAATTTCAGTCGCTTAGTTCTCGGTTCATAGTGGATCAATTTGAATGAAATTTTCACCAAATTGCCTTCTACCTTATCTAGTTTTTAACTATTATAGTGAGAACTGCCAACTCGTTACCGAATCTCCCATAATGTATCTTTAATTAACTTATCCAGACCATAAACACCTCTAGATGTCATCGCTAGCCTGCGATGTTTATTGGATTAGGTTCCGATTTGCTGTTCAACTTCCATTCAAGATTTAATCATGAAATGGATAATCAAGACTATGTTTTTTATCGTACCGACTTTAGTAATGATGATTGAGGCTAGGCCGAAGATTCAGTCGCTAATATCTTGGTTCAGAGGGGATCAATTTGACTGAAATTTTCAGCAAATTCCCTTTACATTATCTAGTTTTTAACTATTATAGTGAGAACTGCCAGCTCTTTATCTAATCTCCCATAATGTATCTTTAAACACTTAATGGTGTTTAATAGAATGGGTGCAAGCAATTGCACGTGCATTAGCGTTTTTAATGTTATTTATGAACCTATCAGGAAGACAACACTATAATAGAAATAATGGTGTTTCAAATTGGCATACTCGCTCATTTATTTGGACATTACAATCTTTAAAACTAACATTTGCTTGAAATGATTATTTAGTGTTGATAAAGTATTTAAAATATTTATTTTTGAGGTAATGTAATAGTAACAGTTTAAGTGTTAATATAAATTTTATTATTACTTCCTAATGACATTTACTGCACATGCAAATAAGTTTCAACAAGGACCTAAAAAAGATACTGATCTTCCAATATTATTGCAACCAAATCTGCATTGATCATTCCAGTACAAATTGTCCCCACTTTGACTAATTACAATATGTATGTATATGGTTCTAAAGGCTATACATAGAATCTTATGTGTATAGAAGGCATTGTTATCGAGTAGATTGAGATAATATTTCCAGTAAGTCGAAAATGAAATGGGGTTTAGCGTCCTACTTTTCCAGTGAATTACAGCCATTTACCATATACAGACCTCATGCCTTTTTGTCAAGACTAGGCCTACTGTTCATTGTTGTCAAAATGAGAATGTTTCGACTGGTATGATCAAGACTATAACCTATCCACATCTAACTGAACAAAAAAACATTTATTGGAACTAAGTACTGCTTATCTCAAAAGTGCACATGAATTGAAACCGTATTAAGGTTCTGTTTTCTTGCATAATGTAGATGTTTGCAAGTCATTCAGTCACTTTAAACATATTTAATTAACTATGGCAGATCTAAGGAGAGAGCAGGAAATTACAGTAAAGTACCTTCTTATACGTTAAATGATTCTCGAGTGTTTTTCTAATGTTCAATTATTTGGAGTGTGTTTTCTAATTGCCTGCTTAGGTATCAACCAAGACATCATTTTCTTCAATTGGTAACAAGTTTATTTTAAAACATGGGGCCAAGAAAAGAACACACAGAAACTGGAACAAGACTAAAGTTTCTTCAAATCAATCTCACTTTTTGTCCATAATTGTTTTTATTTTTAAAAAATTCCATGTTTTTTTGTTTTGACCTCTGGCAAAGAATGTCAAAGTCAAGACGCTAATCATCTTAAATTCAATTTCACTAATAAACTTTCATCATGTGTTCATGTCAAGAGTTTCCTTTTTTTTTCTTTCTCCAAATGTTTTATTGTTTAGCTCTTAACATTGGCAAAATTACAACAAATTTTAGAAATCCATGACGCTGTTTCGTGCATGGCATTACTTTCCAGATGCAATTAGTGTTTGTTGTTTCTTTCCAGGTGGGTGGAAGAGAACTGTATACCCAACAGTCTTTCGTACAAGTCGACTTCATCAATACACTCTACAAATAGCTTTTTGTTTTTGCTTTCTGGCCAATATGCATGTATTGTACATCCATCGCCCACATCAAGTTTTATAAACCTTAAAGAATTATTTGGTGCAGGGACCATGCAATGTGTTTACATGTAGCATAGCCTATCAGGGTGTTGTTTTTCTAAGCAAATGATAAATATTTAATTCTTAACCTTTTAAAATTATTTGTTTCAGTTTATTTATATTGCAATTTTTGTTTCTAATTTATCTAACAGTGATATGTTTTAATGTATATATATTGGAATTGCTGTTTCTAATTTATCTTTTTTCGACGTGGTTTCCACTTGTCAGTGGTGCAGGACAGAGGGCCTGACAAGAACAGCTGTCTAGTTGTTCAGATGGGATGGAAAAACAAGGTCCAGTGTATATATTGGTGTTCACGTAAAAGATCCCTTGGCAGTTGGAATTCGACATAAGAGTATACCATAGTGCTGCTGCCTGGGCAAGATTTCCCTCATTGTACACTCTATGGCGTATACCTGTCTTCATTAGCCCAGTTTGGAGCAGAACAGTAGGCCATAGTGCTGCTGCAAGGGGGCAAGATTTCCCTGGTTGCACACTGTATGGCGTATGCCTGCCTTCATTAGCCCAGTTGGAGCAGAACAGTAGGACATTAAACCCCATTTCATTTCTAATTTATTTAACTATGATATGGTTTTAATGTACATATATTCTATTGGCACCAACAAGCAACTTTAAGTGAATTTGGATTTTAGGTTCCTTATCAATTTGTATCATATCTGATCTGAAAAAATCACTGATTTTTATCACAGAGCGATCTTAAATATGTCACGAAGCGTGATAGAGTTTAACATCGACTTGACCCAACTAGGTATTTTGGGAATTTCTCATAGAGGTCATTAGCAATGGAAGGAAACCAGACAACCCGGAGGAAACCCATGAGGTTGGAATGGCAAAAATATGTCACTATCTAGGAGCATCATTTCAAAATGTTGTTTTCTATGCACTAAAAAGAGTAAGAAATATTTCTATCTAGAATACAAAAGTGCAAAACAACAAAAACATGTTATCTTTTTTGTCGAAAATTGAAATGCCTATATTGTGAAAGATTATCCTATTTAATTTTTGTATAAAACCTGAGAATGCCAGACTATGTTTAAGTTGATGAAAGAAATTTGGTGGCTGTTTGCCATTGCATCTGACAGAATGAAACATTAGGTCTGACTTTCTGTAAAATACCAGCTCTACCATATGGCTAATGGTGACCTTTTATAATAAGGTAGGAAGTAGAATCGTACATATCTAATGACATTAATGTTAGTTTTTATACTTCTATACCTTTCTTCTTTTTATATTCATCTATTTATCTTAATCACAAAGTACGAGAATAACTTGATTCTATGTAATGCTGAATTCCCATATGGGATCTGTTAATATATCTTTCTTTTTTTAGGATACCTAACATGTATGAGAATTGTAGCCTATTGTGATTGACTAGTCTTGAAAGATAGTGGTACATCTTGTCGACATTTATTCAGGAATATATATTATCTATTTCCAAGCATGTACAGTTTCTGAATAACAGTGAAAATGCTTCTAAATTTAACTTTGCATCAAATCAGAATCCAGGTAATGGAACATCCCTCATGTGTAGGGATAATTAAAGATACATTATGGGAGATTAGATAAAGAGCTGGCAGTTGTCACTATAATAGTTAAAAACTACATAATCTAAAGGCAATTTGCTGAAAATTTCAGTCAAATTGATCCACTCTGAACCAAAAATTTAGCGATTAAATTTTCGGCCTAGCCTCGATCATCATAACGTAAGTCGGTATGATAAAAAACATATTCTTGATTATCCATTTCATGATTAAGTCATGAATGGAAGTTGAGCAGCAAATCGGATCCTAATCCAGTAAATATCACAGGCTAGCAATGACATCAAGAGTTGATTATGGTTTGGATAAGTTAATTAATGTCTAATTAATAATTTAGATAATATTTCAGGCCTAAAGAAAGACCTGCAATAGGCAGATTAAGCTCTTGCATAATGTATGTTTAATTGTATTCACAAACAAGAAAATAAAAATGTTATTAGTAATTGTATGTAAAAATGGATTAAAGTAGGCTTTTACCTCTTTGAGATTGGAAGATATGCGTATGACTTGTCGATTGTTAAGAACACCTTTCTGGTAAACTTGTATTTTACATGAAACTGAGAACTGAGCTCGATCTATTAGTTCTACACTAAAAGAACAGTGAAGATTATTCTGATTTCCACTCCATATGTGTCGGAATGGTATTTCCTGAAAATATACAAACAATATTTCAATATTCTGAAAATAAAATAATCAAAAAGCTTTTGAGACTGAATCACTCAGCAATTAGAACATAGAAATAGCATAAAAATAAGTTTCATAAACATGTACATTCATGTACAACTGTTAGTGCTAAATGATAAGGCCAGCTCAATTTTTTCGTCATAGGTCACAAGATGTAAACAGGGCTAGCACTAATCCCAACCCTAACCCTGGACCTAGCCCCAATGCTTACCCTAACCCTAACCTACAATCTTGCCAACGATCCCGCGCCCTAACCTTATTTACATCTCAACGACCTTGACAAAAATTGAGTTGACCTTAACAAATAGATTAAGCCATGTACACGCATAATTGTAAGTCTTCAATTAAAAGCATACTATTGACCGAACACTAAATGTAAAAATATTTCTGATGGATTTAATCCATTTATCAAGTTGATGTAGATAACAAGAATTAGAAAATTCATCTGCATAACTAAACAATATTTGAGAGTTATCTGTTTTCGCGAGGTTGTGTTGACTGAGCTATTTACTCCATGGTTTTTATATTATCGTGTCAAAACAGTCAGGTTCTAAATGGGTAATTTCAACCTGGCGATTCCACTTCTTTTCACATCGACCATTTTGATATCAGAAACTTGTGTATCTTTTGGTGGCAGTTCTTAAACTAACTCAGGAAGTCTGGTTTATTTGTACTATCCCCGGTTAGAACATATGTTTTGACAGAAACAAATCAACAATTTATTCTCAATTTAGCTGTGCCAGCTTTGAGAATACCGACACCAAGTTTAACAGGTATAAACTCGCAAAACGTAGAAAACACCGCAATCAATAACAAATACTCTTGTTTATAATTACAGGTAAAATATCCCTCAAAAACAATTTTAATGCATTCAAAATTTCATTTCTTTTTTTATTATCCATTTTATATTGTTGTAATGTACAGCAAGAAATCAATGCGATTAAGAAATTAATTTCAATACACATTTCTGTTTTCCAACATAAAATATTGAGTATGGAGTTTCTTTGAATTAAATTAGCTCTATCATCAACCATAACGACCAAAACAAATCAATAAAAAATAATCAACACTGATTAATTACACGGTCCCTTAATTTCCTCTCCATTTGAAGCAGTCTTTTATTGTTAAAGTTTCAAGAAGCTACTTGACGGACAATGTTATTTTTTGTATAACAGGTCCCTTGAATTTCAATACGCATTTACGGTGACCTCTTTCATGACATATTAATTTCAAGACGCATTCATTTCTTGTTTCCCAGTATTTCGAAAATCTTAAAACAACATGACTATGCTTGCTTATATGTTACGTCTTGCATTATTTCTGTTACGTCTCTTTTTTGTTTATCATTTTTTTTCATTTTTTAGTGAAACCTGTACCATAACAGGCCCGGGACTGTACAGCGCAGTGTACGCTCACGGCTGGCCCCTGGACCCATTCACTTGATTTGATATTTGTTTATTTTTTGCAATGTCTATTTTCTGTCTTGTCCGCAGGTTTATCTTGTAGATTTTTGTTTTGCGTGTAATGCGGTCCTCCTGCACTTACTATTTAACTCTCTTAAATGTTGTAAAAGTACGAACAATAACATTGATTATATAGGACAAGACCAACGATGTAGGTGCAGGGATGAGAGCACCACTTAAAATTTTTGTCATGAGTTGAATAATTTAGTCTTGTTTGTGATAATTACCACAGTACTAACAACTTACCTGGTAATTGGCTGCTAATTTGCTTCTCCAGCCTGGTGAAAGTTCTTCTATAGTTAGACACAGGTTATTACCACAGTCTTGGAATGGAATCTGTTTTGGCTTGTCAAGCAAACGGCCCCCTAATTTCTTCTCCATTTGAATAACGCCCTAGAATTTAAACATTCAGTAGAAATTTAGAGATGAATTATATAAGATTTAGATACAGAGATGACTGTTCTTTCTATAAAATTCAAAAACAGATAATGAAATATGAATGTATTGAAAATTTCAGTCAAATCACTTTATTCTGAGCAAAGCCATGAGTGTTTGAATTTTAGACAATATAGTCTTGATTGTAAAGTACCATTGCTACGATAATAAACATAGTCTTAATTATCCATTTTAATGTTAAATTATTACATGGAGAGGATGTTTTAATCCATTCAATTTCACAGCCATTCGATAATCTTGGGAGTTAAATATGATATGGCTTGTCATGTTAATAAATGCCTATTAATTTATATATCACTTGAAGCCCCACAAAAAGATAAGGCCCCCCCCCCACCCCCCCGTGAAAAAATTGTCGACCATAAAAACAATAGATATACATTGTTCGTCAATTTTACAGCACCCCTGAGAACACTTCCCGCCGCCCCCCCCCGTTGCTCTGAGCTAGTTACGACCGTGAAACAGATCTGCAGTAGGCAGATTTAGCTCTTACAAATTACATGCATAGAGTACTATATATACCTTCTTTATACACATGAAGAATATGTTCTATGTGGGTATTTAATATGATGATGAACAAACATATGGAGGATATAGAAGTTTGTTTAATGAGATATTATATGTTTACGCTACCTCTAATGCATCTTGTGTATCTTCCACTACATAAACTCTAATACTATAATCCATTGAAGGTGGAGAAGCAGGAGCAAAGGCAGCTAGTCGTAAAATTTTTATCGCTCTCGCACCTGGCACAGACTCCCCAATGATGGCATAACGCTGTAATTGTTCACCCATAATATGACATTGGTTTGGATCAAGTTGAGTATAAACTGGTGTATTTATTGTTTCGTGACCTAATGTAACCATTTTCTACAAAATAACAATATGAATACAGGGTTTAATAACAGTATGAATACAGGGTTTAATTAACAATATGAATACAGGGTTTAATAACAATATGAATACAGGGTTTAATAACAGTATGAATACAGGGTTTAATAACAATATGAATACAGGGTTTAATAACAGTATGAATACAGGGTTTAATAACAGTATGAATACAGGGTTTAATAACAATATGAATACAGGATTAAATAACAATATGAATACAGGGTTTAATAATAGTATGAATACAGGGTTTAATAACAGTATGAATACAGGGTTTAATAACAATATAAATACATTGTATAATAACAATATAAATATACAGTTCCATTTTATTTCAATAATTTGTTTGCGTGTAGTGGGCTGGAGAAACCAGGTAACCCTACTCCTTGTCACATACAAGTGTGGAATTGAAACTACGCCACTTGACTCAATGACAGACCTTATGATTTAAAGCTGGTGTGTTAGACTATTCGGTCACCCAATCCCCATATGAATACTGGGTCTAATATACGTCAATATTAAAACTATCATTACAATGATATGGTATTATGCCCTCTTGTAAAATATAACATCACCTAGATTCAGTGACATGACATTGACTGACATATCAAAATCCATTTCATATATAATAGTTAACTTACAGCCAAACTTGTGACATTTCAATATTGAAAATGAATATTTCAAAAGGACAAACCCAGACTACCATAATTCAAAGCATATTAACACTACTCCACCCATCCCCTAGTCTATACCACTTCAAATCCCTTCGAGCATAAAGCACATTAAAAGAAAGTGTTACATTTACCAAGTTTGATTTGTGTATTAGTTTTAAAAGCGGACAATTAGCAGACGACATTGTGTAGTGGTAGTGTTAAAAAAATAACCAGATGTGTAGATGTTATAGAGTCTGGCTTTATTTGTACAGGTTTTCAACTTGAGGTATCTAGATAATGAAGTGGAAACAGCTGTGTACTTACCTTCCAGTGAGGGGGTTCATCTATTGGGCTGTCACTGTGAAAGAGCGATAGAATCCAGCCTCCTTGTCGCATACTTGCACAGTGTTGGTAGGAGAGAATAACTGGTTTCAACAAAACAACGCTGGGTGGTCCAATTAATAAGATCGGACTTAAAATAGTTTGATTATCTGCAATTGAAGTCATTTTTAATTATTAATTTGAGAAAACAATAATAAAATATAAACACTATATAATAAATAATAGTTATAATATATCCCTTAACCCATGAAAACCAAATTGTATGTAACTTATTATTCCAATAGATGCCAACTCTCAAATGCATGTGACAATGTCAATATAATCTACCTCTCCCCCCCCCCCCCACAATCTAAAGACTTGACACCTTTCTATCCCCCCCAATAACTTTGACCTTATACAATGTTTATAATTCATATTAATTGAGTACTTCATTTGCTGAAAGGACTTTCCACCATTCTCTCTTCTAAATCTTATCTGATTGTCTTCTCCAGAAATTTATAAGGACAGCTGTTTATTTTATCTAAAAGTAGATCTATTTAATTTGTTCACTTACCATTCAACTTGGGTCTATCTTTGTCATCTCGGCAAATCGCCAGATAAATTTCCTCCACATGACCTTCTTTAATAGCTCCTTCAGGAATTAATAAACTTACTCCTAAACAAGAGGACACCAATATAAATACAAAATGATGCAAAGATTTTTTTATTAATTTTTTAAAAATAACAAAAAAATTACTCTTTTACTATGTCTTAGAAGTTACTGCAAAAAAGACAAGTCTAAGCTAAACAAGAGGACACCAATATAAATACAAAGTGATGCAAAGTTGTTTTTTTATTAATTTTTTAAAAATAACAAAAAAATTACTCTTTTACTATGTCTTAGAAGTTACTGCAAAGCAGACAAGTCTAAGAAGTATAGTTGATTTATGTTTAGATAACTGATTATCTTGTTGAGACCAGTCTGATCCCAATGCCATCATGTGTGGTAGAAACATTTGGAATACTTCAGTATGCTCTATTTGAAATATGTATAAAATTGGATCAAGATTAAGTCGATTTTCAAACGACAGACTAAAGTTAGCAGATAAATGTGAACTTGATGTACAGAGAATTGATAAAATCTAATGAGTGCATTTCCTCAATGGCATGAAATTCTTAGTTCCAGGGAGCAGCCAGCCTGTCTGATAAATGCTACACATGTCATGAAAATATCAGAAATCTGTCATCTAAAATAGTCTTATTTTAATTAGATAACTTCATAGATCTGCTTGCTATCTACAAACTATATATGCAAGCAAGGCAATTTTTTTTGCTTGACAAATTTCAGTGACGCTTTCAATCCATGTCTGGTGGAGCTGAAAATCAGAAAGATATATGCTGTCTGAGAGAACGGAACTCTTCCATCAAACTCAATATCTCAAATCTGTTGTTGGCATAAATATTCCTTAATACCAGACATTCAATTGCATATTTTAATAGATCAATTATTGACTATAATTCTGAACGAAACACTTGGGCCAAAGCTAAAGCTTAAGGGAACATCGCAAGCTGAAAACTCCCCATATTGAAATTTAGAGATTTTTCATTGTCCTTTGATCCTATGAATTTGATCCCTATGGCTTTGTTCAAGCATTATTCATAAATGTTGGAATTTTTTAAGTTTTTATTTTCAAAATTGCACCAACCTGATTCTGGGAGAACCAAACGGCCACCACAACTATCAAAGGTACTCCATGTTACACCGTCTGCATCTATTGTACTGGGTAACTGTACCGATATCATTGATTGTCGACTATCTTGTAAATTATCGCACTGAGACAGTCTGTTATCTGACGGAACTAATAATGTATTTTTATTGTCACAAACTGATAATTGTTCGAGGGAGGAAGTCAGATTATGGTTTAGAGTAGGTTCCACCAACATCATTTTGCTGTTCTTAGGAAGAGTTCCTGATAATCGATGGTGTGCATTAATGTCGGGGACATCGTACAAGGGTTGTTTTTCCATCATATGGTTGTTATTTGGTGAATCTGGGGGAAGAGCATGTTGAACTGTTACAACCGTCTGTGTTAAATCTGGTTGCATTGACAACAATTCTATAAAAAAAATAGGAGAATTTTAGATATGGTAAACAAAAGAACAATAAACTAGTCATGCATGGTAAAAAATCACGACAAATGATGCAGAACTTCGTGTAAAATGGTGTAAAATATTACAAGGACATATTGAAAAATTATGAAACTTTGGTTATCTATTGAAAAAATCAATGAAGAAAAATGTTTTATAGTTCTGGGGATGTTTTTAACATATGTTAGTTGAACTGTCGTTTCTTTAAGTTTTGCCCTTGGTGTCAAACGTATTTTCATTCTTAACATCTGGTTAGGTCGTTAGAGGGAGATGTAATCATACATAATTCATTAACAGCTACTAGACTAGTTCAAATTCTAATATTTGGGTGGCATTATATTTCAATGTAAAATATCCTAATTTTTCTTCTGAGACAAAACGCTGATCTGTATCCCATTCTAGATCACAGAGATTAAACAGTACAAATGCTTGAGAAAACGCTTTACCATCTTTCACAAAAAATTTGTATCATTTAAAGAGGACAGTTTGACAGATGTGGATAATAAGCAGTGCGTCTGCTCAAGTCTGTGTAATATCAAGGAGCTGTAAGACAATCAAGGGAGTAAACCTGCACCCTATAATACACAGGATCACCTTACCCTGGGTAAAATGAAGTTTTAATGACCTGAAAGAGTTCAGGTTGTTTGACTGATAGGTTTTAACTATATTATTTAACAGTCCACAGACCTCATCCTTATCTCTGTTTTTCTTGTCTCCCCCCATTCCCAACTAAACAAGTTGACGGCCTTTTGTTTGTTTGAAAGCCATTCTCCAAATTTTAACTAACGTGTTTATAATTACTCTGGGGGCCTCTCTTATCTCTGACCCTCTTTAACCCATCTGTGTTTTGATGCCTTGATTATGGCATATCTCTCTCTGAAACATGCCAAATTTCTGCATTCTAACTAAATATTAATATGGATGTTTATTTTCATTGCATTTGAACACCAACTAAGAGGGGTGTAATTTGTCTTGAGAATGGTGTAATTATCTTGTACAGGTCTGCCATAAGAGAAAACTACAGCCATGGAGAATATATACGTCCAATTCAATTATCCATTCACTCATGTCAATGTGGGAAAAAATAAGTATGATTCATATGGATGGATTACTGCAAATATAAGTTAAATCTGATAAGGTTGACATTTCCTGTCTCTCATTATGTAATTTATTTCAACCCCCCAACGAAGCTCTACTAAACATAAATAGATCTGGGCTAAATTAACCCATCTTAAAATAACTTCAATCCTAATGGCAAATCAATTCAAGAAATTAGAACTGGTTCAGCTCAAAAGACCTATATACACAGCCGAGCCTTGGACTGGCAGAAGAATTTTAATGCCTTTGTCTAAGAAATGCTAAAGAGATTTAAACATCTTTGGACAAAGATTTTTATCAGTTATTTGTAAGCATAAGAGGAGTAAAATAACACAAGAGTACATATGTGAATGTAGAAAACATAGAGTTTTATAGTAATAACGTGTTTATCTAGCACACAACACCATATTTACACATCTATAACACAATTGTTTTCAGATGAATAAAAATGTCAGTATTCCTTGCTTAACAAATGAAAGCCGGGTCGTTCTTCCTGCTTCTCATTGTTTTCTAGTTAAAACCCAAATACTTGATGGATTCAATTTCTCAAAGTAAATAGCCAGTTGTCCTGTAGAAAAACAAACTTTATGGACATGGTTTTCAATGAAGCAGTTTATGTACATTGAGCCCATCTTAACACCTTATTGGTGAAGAAACAAGAGAATGAGATAGACAAAAACATTTCTAAACAAACTCTTTATTTTATTGATTTTGTATCTGAAATAACAAGTTGATCAACAGAAACTGTTATTTTTGCAGGACTTAAGGGTTTGAACCAAAAAACCATTTTTTTTCTTGTCTGCATATCTGCTTAAGATTATTCAGATTATGACCTGTTTTGCGTTCCACTTTCGACACAGTGAGCCTAAAAGTAACTAAAATTACATAACCAGTTGATGTGTTCTTAAACAATTGAAAATTGAATCCAATTTAATATTTTATTTTAACCCAAAATCGTAACTTCACAAGTCAATGTTCTTAAACATTTGAAAATTGAATTCAATATAATATTTTATTTTAACCCAAAATCATAACTTCACAAGTCAATGTGTTCTTAAACAATTGAAAATTGAATCCAATTAATATTTTATTTTAATCTAAAATCAAAGAGTTTTACCATTTTATTTTTACCTAAATCAAAGAGTTTTATCTCCTTTAATGTTAGCTTAATATATTTCTTTGTTGTGATTTAGGAATGAAGTATGTTTGTGGTAACGTGAATATACTTGATATTGTCTTGGCTTTTATTTCATAGATATACACATAAATTATCTTGTTTTAATTACGATTGAAATTGATGAAGTTGGAAAACCTCATAAATATAAGTCATATTTTACACTTCATGACACTATTTTATCCACATCAAAGCCAGGAATCAGTTCATATCTTTTTTTCAAATAATTCTTTCCAGGAACCTTTTACGTTTGGTATGTTAACATGTGTACGTCTGTCAGTGGAAGCTATTACTCTCAAGAATTATGTGAGCTGATAAATAACTGCAAAACCTAAACAGATAATTTTTCTAGTTAAAGTTGACATACTAGTGTATGGTCACTAAGCCATTTTTCATTCTAATTTCCCATCAAACAAGAAGGATAAACCCCCAAGAAAAACTCCATCAAACAGTTGCAGACGCCCTCAAGATGTCAAAGGTCATTATTTTGAATTTGGACTAAATCTCTTACATTCTACTAACATATGTTTTATCACTATATACAAAAAACATGATAACTTCTGTTTTTTCAGGCACACAAAGGCAATGAAAATATTTCCACGCCTGCAGGTGTAAACTCTAGAGACAGTATACAATGTTTATTGACAATATCCAAGCGAGTCAAAGATGTGCTCTGGTCATAAAATACATAATGCTGGAACCGAAGAGCATATTATTGCTTTTAAGGCAACAATAATCCTGCACAACTGGAATCTTTTTTTAACTGTTTACCAGTTTAAGATGTTAATGTATCCAATTGATACTTCAAACCAAATGTCATCCTAATGGCACCTCATTTAAAAAAAAGAAATTTAAATAAAAATCAGATTTATATCAGCCATAAAGTAAACATAATTGCGACCTGGAAAAGCATTTTGAAAAGGATTATGAGAATTTTGCGTTTGTTATAGGATTATGAACTAGCATATCTGTCATGAATAACTTGGACGTCATTAATAACTTGGAAAGAAACAGAGTATTTCAATCAATCCAAAAATGCACTTACCCCCATTCTTGGTGATTTTCTTCTCTTCATCAGTCATAGAGTTAATTGTAGAATCTGCCAAAAAAGTAAGAGTAACAATCTGTATTAATTGATGTGATGTAAATTTTTTTGGCAATGTTTAATGAGCTAAAGATGGGAGTGGAAAGAGCTATTAATTATGGTAAATAACAGCCTATGTTATCATGATCACATCAAAGATTTTCCCTTCCTATCAAAGAGATGCATATCAAAATCATACAATAATTTGATTACTTTTCATAAGCATAACATAACATTGAAAGACCTAGTAGCTCTTAAGAACGTGACCATGATCTAAATTTCATTATACCTCGAGCATTTCTAATGAGTTTACAAGCTGGGATGAAAAGCATCTTATAAGCAGACACGTATTTATATTTACTGCTTCTAAGAAGCTTTAGATGTTGTTTTTTCTTATTCATTATGTGATTTAAATTGACGAAAATGAGGTTGGCTGTTTGAAAAACATGCACCTAGAAGTTTTCTAACTTAATTAAATTTTTGCCTATATTCCCTAGTTAAGTGTGCAGGAGTCTACTTTATTTATGAATTTTTCCATTATTTTTAACATCTTTCAGCTTCTTGCAAATTAGTGTAGGAGAAGAAAAATATTCTTCTGGAATTTGCGGTTAAGTTTTAAAAAAAAATCTGTTTTAATTATACAAGATATTGTGCCCTGTGCATTTAAATTACTGCATCGGTTGAAAGGTCACATTATAGGTAAGCTAATTAAATTACTGAATTAAAATATCGACAATATCCATACTGTTGAGACGAGATCGTTTCTTGATATAAAATTTCTGAATATTGTCTCTCATTTATTCTCTCTCATTAAAGTCTTTCAGCACCACAGGCGTCCATAAACATCATTGAAATGTTAATGTTCTAGTCCCCGATTTTTTTTCTTATAACAGTGTAAACATGGCAGTATTTTATATCTCACGGCAACAGCTTCATTTAACTCGAGATAGTTTTAATAGTTTTGACATTCCGAAAAAAATCCTGTAACATGCAATTTTGACATCAATGATAGAAAACATACAGCCTATTATCAAAATTTCCAACTGACAATTTAAATACACTAGACATCTACCATAAGCCCCTTCAAAATTATTTTAGGACAAGTAGGCTATTTAAACAAAATTCTCTTCTCAAGCTCAAGGAAGAAATGCATTCTCAAATGAATTGGGAATAAATGTATTAAAAACAACAAGCCAATGACGGTGTGTGCTTTTTCAAGAGCTTTTTAAAATAATCTATGTTTAATGCTTCAACTATTCGAGAATTTGCCTCCAAAGACCGAAGAAAACACCAGTAATATAATGACGATGAAATTAGATTCTGTCAAGTGTATGTCAATATTTCACTTAAAACAAGATTAAGGCTAAAAGAATATCCAATTATCAGGAACTGCGAAATGTCAGCTTGGACTGGGACTTGACCTACTCTGTTGAGAAGACTTGAAAAACATTCTTATGGACATAATGGTATTTGAAACTCCAGAAACAAGAGCTAGGTCACATATTCACAGAAGTTTTGTCTTAAGCCAGACTGATCAAGTATTTGTATTGTTTTATTAAATACAACCTAGTTTTATATTGTTCCTCGTTTAATAACCATTTGCTTTCACCAAATCGACTAGAGATTGTGCGCGTGCAAGTTAATGTTAAACAAGGGAATAATTTGTTATAAATCATATCTTCTATTAGTTTTACTACTAATTAAATTCACTCACAGCTCTTCTATGGGGCTATAACATTTCAAACACTTCTATCAGTGCAACATTTCAATAAGTTTCCAATTTAATACAATAATTCTATTTCCATAAAATATGCAGTTTGACATTAGAAAATTGACGTGGCCAGCCATAAAAGAGTAAAGTAAAGAGCAATGTTTATAAAATTGCTTTCTAATATCATCATCAGGCCCTCTAAGTGAATTTTATTTCCATTATTAAAGAGCAGTAAAAACAGTCCGAGGACCGAAAGACGAGGCCATAAAATGTGCAAGTCTGGTAACACATGAGTCAGAGAGATTAAGATATTAAAGCTGATCAAAAAGGGTAATAACTCTAGTTCTCTACTAACATTGGTAGTTTTCTATTATCTAGGAAGACATTTTTTATACTAAATATCAGTTTTGTAGAAGTTTATTGGCTGTTTTAAGGATGTTCACTCATGTACAAGAATTACATGAAGACCTGTTTTTACAAAACAGTCTTTTTTTTAAAACTATTTTCATTCCTTACACCTGTCTGACATTAGATTAACAAACTATTTAAAATCCTTTATATGTATCAAAATCATTTTATCTGTCTTATTTTTAAAGCCCCCTCCCACCTCCCCCACCCCCAGAACCACTCTAAATATAGTGTTTTTGAACAAGGCTGTTCACATATGACTCCCTCTACATGGTCAGATTTATTCATCAAATATTCACTGTGTTTATTAAGAGATCATTCTTGAGCTCTGCATCGTTCTTATACTCGAAGTTTCATCAAATAAAATACATCAATAAATTACTGATACTCGAAAACTTTTACACAGGGTTTGGCTACTCAAGCACCAGTTACGACAACATGTTCCAATTGTTAAATGTGTTCTTTGTATATTCAAATTCAATAGTAATAAGAATGAAGAGTACTCTATATGTCTAATGTACATAAATTAAAAAAGAAAGTAGAGATTTTGGGTGATCTGAGGACAGGGGATTAGCTCACCTGTGCTCAGACACTCCCTGTTAAACACACCTTGTTGGCGAGCTTTTCTTCTTCGCATAACAATGACTATAACCACCACCACAGTTATAAAGACAGCCACGGCCACGCACAGACCAATATACATAGGAATATTTTCACCATCTTCAGCTCGACTAGTAGCTGAAAATAAAATAAATAACATTTAAATTTATAATCATGATTAGAAATGTAATTCATAAAATTTTCTACAAAAATAATAAGAATACAAATTTAGGAACTTCACAGAGATGGTGGAGAAGTAATTTCCTTCCAATTCTGACTACCGCAAAATGTCAGATTATTACTTTTTTTTTTAAAGGCAAATACTTTGGTCATGTCATAATAACATTACTGGTTGTACATGTATGATGTAAGGAAAGTAATCCTAATGATTAATAATCCTATTCGACTGTTCAGAATGCAACTTTATACAATAAAAGCTAATTGCAAGCATCAGATAAGTTCAATGAAATACCAGCCATCAATTTCCTTCAAAAATGAAGACCTGATGTTCAAAAATATTTTGTTAACCTAAAAACTATCTTTCTTAATGAAGATCGCTACTGGATGCTCAAGATTACCATAATAGAAGTCTATTTTGGGGATTGGTTAAGTGACAGTGTTTCCTTGTGGAATGTTGGCATGGAAAACATAGAACTGTTGCCATACAAATTGATCAGTTGTATGGAACAGTTGAAATATGGAGGAAATAACATCTCACTATGGCCAGTAGATATAAATTATCCACTTTACGTGTGGAGGATAAAGGCAGCAATCAGACATATTTCTTAACCCGTCAACTTCTTGGGTGATTAGTCTGATGTACAAGCGCTAATATTCGTCTATTCATTTAACATACATTGTACATATAGTTGAAACTACTGAAGCAACGCAAATAAACGCTTTCATATATGATGCAACAAAACACAGAATGCTAACCAGTACAGTAAACACAACATGACAGTTTTTCTATATTAGCTTGGCACATTTTTTTCAACAGATCTGCATACAAAATCAATAAAAGATTTCTACATAGTCTATAGAGCAATACATTCCATACCCAATCCACACACACAACATAACACAGACCAAAAACATGCAGAAGCAGAAATTTATGTTTAGATTTCAGCAAGCTGAGAAATATAATGTAATAATAAACAAATATTCTACTCAAAGATCGGAATGGAATCTAAGGTCAAACACAAGTTATCATTGTGTGGCACTAAAATAAACATAGGCAAAATACGGGGTTGGAATTATTACTATACCCTCCCTGCCATCATTCCAATCTGTATGGTGCCTGCTGTTTTTAACTTGGCTTTCTTGAAAATCTCACAGATATCAATTAGAAGGGTAGAAATCATTAATCTTAATGTAGGTTTAATGAGATCTTACTGTGGTAGCTCTAAAAGATCCATATCATTTATTTGTATTTAAAAACGACCCTGCAGAGTTCTATTATAGATGGGTTTATCAAAGATGGCTGACACGGACTTCTGGGGTTTGGGCAAAAATTATTTATCAAATCAGCTTAGCTTAGTTAGGGGGTCGAAGGATATTTATGATACACTTGATATGACTTACGAGACAATCTCTGAGAGCCCTTCAGATAATTCTTATTTTTATAAATGCTTTGAGATAGAAATGGATAGCGTGTCTTAACGATACCAATCTTTTATAATAAATGTAAGTCATAAATTATGATGTTTAGAAGTGAAGAATCTTAGAACACACATCATTTAGGATTGAAGCCATAATGTTTGGTTGTTAGGTTGATCAGGTCTAAGTATGTAAATATATGGTGTATAGCTTGAAGATATAAAACTAAAGGAAAACCAAGTGAATGGACAAATAAAGCAGATTTCTTTTTGAAGAATGGCGACTTTGTTTGTGAAAGACCAACGTCTAGTAAAATAAACAGATCTCCTAGTCACAGCCACAAATAAACACATGCAAATTTAAGACTTGATGATATATATATTAACTTTCAAGACTTTCAACTTTCTTTTGAACCTAATTTGTTGTCCATTCTCAGTGTCTGTGTGGTCATCTGGTTTCCATTTCCCTTGCTACTGTTTATTTTACTTGTAAGTCAATGTGTTAAACTAAATGCAAACCTCGAGGACTCAGTGGACAAGTCTACTGCATTAGACTCAATTATAGGAGCTTTATATGCTTCTACTGAAGTCGTAAAGGTTTGATTTAATGGAAGGGGGTGGTATGGGATGATGTGATGCAGACCTGTGAACATTTGGTAAGGGTCTGCCATCATCTTTACCGTTATTTATGAGCTATAAAATTTTAAGCGATGTATAATGAGCGCTTTATAAATTGGATAAATTTGACAAGAGTAAATATATCCTAGTCATAGGGTACATGTTAAATGTTCAATTACAAGGTCTCCTGTGCTCCTTCAGCTTTATACTATTAAAAATAAACACTCCTTCAAAGATTATAGAATTAAATTATGTATTATCTGGCTTTGATGTTTTTCCCTAGAATCTTTAGTGATCGAAAATTGTAAATTTTAAAATTTTCATCTACCGTTCTAGGGTTGAAATTGGCATTGTTACTTTTAACAAGTAATTAAATGTCCTTTAAAAGTTCCAAATAAAATCAGACAGCTTATATGACTCGCCTAATTATCGAAAAATTCTTAATATATGACGATGCTGACACAGATTCTATGCATGTCTTTTCAACTAAAAGCATATGTACCTAGGAAATGGATTATTGGGAGGGGGGGGGATTATTGTATTATGACATTCAATTCACATTCAAACTGAAAATACTTTTGAGCAGCTTATGCCACTCAAAGCTACATTTATTTAATGTATTGTATAGTTTTCATTTTGATCTACAGGTTTTTTTAATCTACAGGTAGAGTCATTTAATATACCCACAGGTAGTGGAGAAGCGCAACCTCAATACATGCACTTGTACTGGAGATATAATACTGTTGACTTTTAAATGACTTTAGTCTAAATTTATCAATTTTCTCTTGTGTAGCTGGTTTTTGTTATCTATGTTATTGAACAGACTACAGTTCTGATATTATCACTGATTGTTCACTTTAACTGCTGCAAACATTCACTTAATGTAAACTCTCTTCTCGAGTATATATTTAGGCTTCGATGTTAATTACTTCCCTAATGGCTCTCAAAGCCAGTCGGTAAAATCTATTCTCATGAACACTGTAATTCCAACGAGTTGATCGATCGCAGTTGGCAGCCAAATTGACAATTATTGATTAGTAGATATCAATTAATATTATTCTTACTTCATAATCCTGTAAGCTAGCATTATGTACATTCACAGTACAAATAATTTCAAGGAGTAACGTCTATCAGTTCCACATGAAAGCTTTGGGAATAGTGTGAATTAATAATAAATGCAAAAGAGAGTAGATATAGAATCAAATAAACTCTTATTGTTAGGTAGTAATCGTTTTCCTTCCAAAGATGAGTGGGATCATCACAATTAATTTGTGGGATTGACCGATAAAGCAAATTGCTATGATAACTGAAATCTACTTAATACTGATACATCATAGATCTTTATATTTAGTACAGGAAAGGGGAGGCTTTAAATCGTCTATCTTTGTCAACCACCATATTTGGGACCGAAGGACTTATTTCAAGAGATAATTGTCATTAATCCCTTTGGAGATAACGGAGAGAATGTTCTACTTTATCATATGTAGGGGGAGGAGGGTGGGTGGATGGCTGAATAGTTAGTGTGTACGCGTTGTATCATAAGGTCTGTCATTGAGTCAACTGGTGTGCTTTCAACCGGTTGTAAGTGACAAGGAGTAGGATCAACATGGGTTTTCTCTGGGTCCTTCGGTTTCCTCCCACTGCTAAAGACCCCCTAGGCGCAAGCGAATTATTGAAATGATATTGAACCATATATTAGTTCCGTAATAACCTAGTTTGTGTCAAGTGGAAGTTAAACCCCATTTCTGTCTCTGTCTGTCTTATCATATATATATATATATATATATTTAAAAAAGGAAATCAAACTCACATCATTTCAAAATTAATATGGACAAATTTCTACATAAAGCTTTGAACTATCATTGACATAAAAAGCATCCCAACTCCAGCAACATGGTAAAAATAGCACAATCTCTGATCATGTATTATATATAATCATGCAAATGTGATTGTTAGATATCATATTGTACATTTTTAGGCCAATCGTAGCGGTGATTAGTTTTTCAGTTGGAACAATGAATGTGGAAGCATGCCGACCACCAGGTTACTTTTTATATTTGTTAATTAACATGTCCACCCTAGCCCGTTGCATTCATAAACCGTTAGCCTATTCTTACAACTAACCTTCTGAAGTTTCAACAAAAATATTCTTAGTACTAACATCTGAAACGCAACAAAATCACAAATTTGTAAACAAATACCCTTTTATTTTATTTTTTTTTTTTTAATAAAAGAATCAATTTGAATAAAAAGAAACCAAGAAATAAACAAACATAATATACAGGTATTTTTTTAAATTTTTAAATAAAAAGTATAATTGATTTTAAAATTAAATATAATTAATAAATAATATGTTAATATCACTCAATCAAACTTTCAGATAATTATAAATTGGGAGCGGGAGCTGTTTGTACTAGTATCTTACTCATGCCATTAAAGATAAATATAATAGGATAAATTTTATTAGTCTTTTGTAAGTAAACTTTCTTTCATATCTTAAACTACAACAGATGTGACACACCCTATAATACTTTGGGTTTTAAAGAATGACTCACGTGGGATCCATCCCTAAACTAACCAGTACGGGTGGACTATGGAACAGGAACCGAGTGTGACGTTAAAATCAAAACCCGTCAATCAATGCACATTTGTCAGAGGAACAAGAATGCCAAGTTTCATTGATGGTACCTTAAACATACATTATGCAAGAGCTAAATCTGCCTATTGCAGGTCTTTCTTTAGGCCTGAAATGTTTTCTAAATTATTAATTAGACATTAATTAACTTATCCAGGCCATAATCAAGTCTTGATGGCATCGGATTTCTCCGATATTAAATAGATTAGAACGGTTCAGCCATATTTTGATTTAATCTAGAAATGGAGGAGCGAGACTTAGCTTCGAACAACCAGTACGGTGGTTGCAATTATTGCACACGTCTTGTCAAACCTTCAAAGGCTAAATATCTTCGCTCGCAATAGAGTAATTTAAATGAAATTTTCAAATTTTTTATTTTATATTATCTATTTTTGAACTATTATAGCAAGAATGGCTACTTCTTTATCTAAATCTTGCATAATGTAACTTAAGCTTTTTCAAAGAGCGTTGCCTCCAAGAACAACAAGATGGGTAGCGCTTGGGATCAGTTCTTGGTCCAAAAATGTAACATCTCCAGTTTATTGGTGGTCTTATATCAAAAAGGCTATGGTCAGATATGCACAGACCACAATTTCTGTGACGCAAAAAACAAACTCAAGTGCATTCATTCATCAGTGACGTCACTGAATTATGACATTGGCATCTGTCAATGCCTTCTCTTTTTTTGAAAAGGCTTCTTTAAGGAAATTGTACCTTTAACTAAATCTATCCTTGTAGTTGTACCCTATTTAGATTGAATAACTTCCCATATTTTTCCAGCAAGTTGTGAAAAAACATCAGCGCGAGAGATAAAAATATATCTAATTAATAGCATTTAATAGGGCAATATAGAGAAGTCAGATAGACTAATGGTTGATCATGCACTGTGGTGTATATATAGTCAGTGCAATCTTTGATTGTTTTTTTTCTCTGTACACTTGTTCTAAATGACTCTTTCAAAGATTGCACTAAGTGAGTTCAGGGTTTTCTAAACATTTCTAACTTGTTATCAAGTTTATACTATGCGGGGTAATATCAGGTCTAATGTTAGTTGTTGCTGGGAGGGTTTCTTTTACTTTTGATTTTTCTTACCGAGACTGGGTGAAAATGTCTGCAGCACAAATCTCGAATTATTTCTTTTGTCTGAAATATTTGAACCAAGGGATTTTTTTGGTTGTTGGTAGTTTAATAAAACAATGGAACTATTCAAATAATTAAAATCTGTTACTTTCACACTTTTACTGTGAGGGGGATATTAAATGTCTGTTATAATGAGACTGATTCATACTTTTCCCTCCCGAAGGACTTACTCCAAAAACTTCAAATTTAGAAACCATCATCAAGTACTTGATTTCACTAGAATTTTATAAGTGACTAATTTCTTGAATAGCTAATCCCTACAATATAAGTGACACAATGCCAAGTTTAATTACAATGCGGAAAGACTAAGTGTCAACAAATAGCCTTAAGGCATGCCATGTTTCTCTCCAGAGATATTTCCGACAAAAGAATAACATTTATCGTGGCTAATTTTTATTCTTTTTTGGATTGCAACTAAAGCCTAATGATAGATTTTCACAGCCAGTAGTACTTTTTAACACCAATGTGCAGCCATTGCATGTCATGTGAAAGTAATCAACGATATCGCATTTATCATGTTCAAGAAGTTTCATATTCAATCAAGCATTTAATAAAAAAAATATTCAATGAGTCATTAAACACATTTGCCAGTTACAATTAGAGGATAGTATCTTCAAATAATGTCTAATTTCTAGTGGGAAGAATTTTGACCACAATAAAAAACAGAAGATAATAAGTCTTTCATCTTTCGATTTTTAAAGTTCTTCTTTATTTTTTTTTTGCCACCGGACTAAGTATCTCTAAATAATGCCTAATTTCTAGTGCGAAGAATTATAACCACAAATAAAACGAAGATGATAAGTCTTTCATCTTTCGATTTTTTAAAGTTCTTCTTTATTTTTTGTGCCAGTTACTGATATGAGTATCTTTAAATAATGCCTAATTTCTAGTGCGAAGAATTTTAATCACAAATAAAACAAAGATAAAAAGTCTCTCATCTTTTGATTTTTAAAGTTCTTCTTGTCTTTCCAATATAAAGAAAGAGAAGATATAATTTGAAATATAATATGCAAAAAATTGTTTGTGTGTAATCTGTTCTGGTTATAAAATACTTGCTTCCAATCTACAGGTCTTAATTAAAGTTCTATCAAATAACTAATGGAAGGAAACCTTAGAATGCTTCTCTCCTCACAACCTGCTTTATTAACAGAACTATTCCTAGGCCAAAAAGTCCAAATGTCAGATAAGCAGAAAGAGAACTGATGGTCATTTTCTCATTCAATGGCTGCATTGTATCTTAATCAGAGGCCTCTCAGCAAGAAGAGATTTGATAAACTGGTTGAGATATACAAATGGGATGAAATATAGCTGTTGTGGTATTGGAATCAAGACCTCTTTGCCCTTCTATTGTTCTCAACTAGAAAACTGACCTTGCTTTCTCTACATATCACATGTTTAATCAAATAATTATTTCTTTTGGTTAGCTGCTTTGATTTAAAGCAATTTGAATACAGCTTACTTTTTGTTTTATTGCCAAGGACTTGGAAATACAAAATTTACAGCAGTTTGGCATATAATTCTTCTATAACTTTCAAAACAAAATCATTATGTCCACAATCGTGTTTTTGAATGCAATATTCGTGCTAGTTCAACAACAAGAGCAACATCTTTTATCACTTATCATATTTATTGAGTAAATTCAACATTTTTGGCGTTCGTATGTCTACATGTAAAAATGTCAAAAACTGCGATCCGTCTATTAACTTAAATGAATCACTTCCTAAGGTGTGGTTTTTTTTCTATGTAGAGCTGCAAAGTAGAACATCCTGCGTTAATTATGAGATTCATGTAGTGTATTTGACAACAACTGAACCGAAGCAGCTTGAAAAGATCGACTGATTGACTTTTCGATATTGCCACAAGGAGTGGAGTTTTTTATATTATAATTTTGTTCATACTTCAGTTGCTTTAGTAATTGTTTACATAACATGTCCATGTATTTGGATTGAAACCGTGAAAAAATATAAGAATATTCTACTAGTTATAATAGATTTACTTATTTAAATAAAAACAAAGGAGAAATTTACAAATAGCAAACTTGCTGTTATGAATGGTTAGTCATGTTTATAAAAGTACTACAAAATAGGTGAACTCCTCAAATAAAATAGAAGTGTTGTTTGGTGTTCCAGAAAGAGTACACATACTCTGCCTTATGCACAATACATATGACCCCTTAAAGCCAAAGGTGTCTTCACAATGATATTACCCATAGTAAATAAGTTCTAATCAATGTTTGTATTCACACTGAAGGATTTTTAATTTTTAAAAGCAGGCCAAATGTATTAGTCCTTCTTATGGGGTTGTAAAATGTCAAATGATCTTGCACAAGGCTATTTAATGATGCTGAAAGCAGTGATGTCACAGTAGAAGCAGTATTCCCTGTAACACGAATGAAACAGAGTTTCTGCTCAGTCCTTCTGATCATGGTCCTCCTTTTTACTTAAAGCAAACTGATCAAAAGCATCTGTGCTGAAATACTTCAAGTGAATTGGTATCCAGGACAATCTTTTTAACTCCAATCTCTATATGAACACATTCTTAAGATTTCAGAAGTCAAAGCCACTATGTGTTAGTTAGCTCACGGCACTAACCAAGGGCGGATCGAGAGACCATGGATGTAGGCAATACCAATAGTAAGTTACCTCACGGCACTAACCAAGGGCGGCTCCAGAGACCATGGATGTGGGTGCTTGCGGGATGGGTGCAAAGCTGCACGCTGCAAGCTCCGAATCCACAAAGCCCTCATCAGTCAATGTATCATTTCGTTAATTGTAAATGTTTTTGATATCATTTTTACCCATGTAGTTGGCTCATGTGGATTGGTTAAAATTATAACAATAGATGAGTAAGTTAATTATCAGATGTAAAATGTATTAATTATTGTTTATCACGACAACTTATTATTAATAGTAATCAATGACAAGAGAAAGTTACAGGCTCGTATGTTTAACAGTAGAGATAAATATACAGTAGGATTCAGACAGCTTGTTTTGTGGTCATGAACCTTAAAATCATTAATAGAACAGGACATATTATAATTATGTTTATTAAGAGACAGAATATTATCTCTTGCTGATTCTAGCTTTTAATAAATAAAGGGAAAAAAATAAAATAAATAAATACAAAGGCTAGAACAAGATACTAAAGTAAAAGTAGAACAATAGTTACCAAAAAGTAGACTAACAATTACAATTAAGGTAAATATTAAGATTGTGCAGAAATTAAGAAGGTGCAAAGTTACTTTTTTGCATACAAAATGCCAATTTATAAATGAAATAAACAAAAATAACTACCTCTGCACATGCCCCCAGTACAGTTGGCAGATGCCAAGTCATTTCCAATGCAATATTCTCCGCCATTGGCTGGAGCAGGGTTATCACATGACCTACGCCGATGATGAATACAATCTGGACTGCATGTTGACCACGATGACCAGGGGGACCAAAGACCATCCACTACAATGGAGGTTTCAGATAGAAAGGAGGTGACCAAATCGGTGTTTCTTCTAAATATTTTGAGTTCATGCTTTATGGCTTTGGTTTTGTTTTTTTTGTAAATACTTTCAAAATGACTTAAGAATTTAGAAATTTTTAAAAACTCTAATTATTGTTTCACAGTGTTTTGTCACCAAGGGGTAGAATAAGAAAATGAAAAATGACAAAACTAAAGACAGAAAAAACATGAAATCAAAATATATCAAAAACGCAAAAAAATACAAAGCAATTAATATGCATGGTGTCTAAAACACAATGACTAAATAAGAACTAAAATGTCACAATATCTCCATAGTGAGGTTTTTCTACATCCCCAAATTACACATCATGCAGTGAAGGTGTGCTCAAAAACAATCAAAGTTGGCACATTGTGACAATATTTTGATAAATAAATTGGCATCCTTTTTCTACGTCTGTCAATCAATATAAATCATGTTTTGACACAAGATTGTCACACACAAATTTCAAATGTCTTGCAAGGAAATTACTCGCACTTTTCTTTTTGTAATCCTTTTGTAATAAGATTTACAGCCAATAAAATTTTGAGCACCTCCAAAAAGGAAATGTCAGAAAGTTCAAGACATAAAAATTTTTGAATTGTAATTTATATCCTTGGTGTTTTTATTTTTTTTCAAAAATCAAAATGGTGGACTGTTTTGAGACAAACCTTGTTCTACATGGTTCATAATAATTGCCATCAATATTGAAACCACAATACAAGGACTAATAATCTACTGCTACTAGTACATATAGGTACTGATAATAATATTACAGATATACAGAAATATAGAAAGGGGAAAAATAATATAATACAATGATGAAGGAACAATAAGCAGTAGTAGAGATCTAATGTGCATGTTTGATACTAAAGGACATGATCATCAACATGAAGGAAACAATGAAGGCTTACCTGTTTTTCCATCTAAGAAAGCCAAAGAAAAAAATTAGAAGGAAATGTGAGAATTGTGGGATGATGATGGGAGAAATTTGTTTTAGAAAATACAGTATAGATTTCTGATATTGTGTACAAAGCAGTATTTACATATATCTACTCAAATATGTGTGTTTATTCTTTTGAATTTGACAGAGAGAATCAAGACCAAGAAGTTAATCAAAAGAAAGAAATAATAAGCTAATGGAGTTTGGTTTAAGATTACTGCAGAAACAGAGATTACCAGTTCTATGATATCATCTCATGCCAACCATTAAATTAGAATTTGTGGCCATGTTCACCGACAGACGACTAATGTTGATTTCAACTCATTAAGATAGCTGAAAATTCTGTACAAGGAATAATCCTTGTTTTGATCAAATTGTAAAAGACTTACTCCAGAGAGAAGAAATGTTGATTTGATTAACCAGAAATTACTTATATTGATGAAGGCACCAACTGAATTTCCTGTCTAGACTAGTTTGAGGAATAAACCACTTAAAGGCAATGCTCCACACAAACAACATCTCTTTAAATAAAGTCTTATCACATTCTTATTCTTTTACTGTTTCTTATGCCTCTATTAACTTAATGAATTGCAATAACCATGAAATGAACATATAACATTTACTTTCGGGATATCATTAAATATAAATAAATGTATATTGTCATACAGACAAGTAGTTTGGGAATAGAACAATTCTAAGAGTCCCATTTTGCTCGCAAATTTTCAGAAGCTGGTAATTATTTGCCTATTAACCATTACCATGCATGATGTCTGGCATTTTATAATAAATTGGGTTTATGTTCTTTAAATATTCAGATTTCTACAATGCCAAATTGGATTTATGTTTTTAACTGTGTGATTTAAATATTCAGATTTCTACAATTCCAGATTGTACTACCATAGGATCACCAAAAAACAAGTTCCTTGAAAGACAGTTTTTAAAGCAGTTTTATTGTTTAGATTTCAATTTACCGGTAATCAGAGAAAATTCAATGTGTTATTTTTTAAAGATATAGATGAGAGAATATGTATATATACCACCTATGTGAAAACGTTTAATACATCTGTCATATCAAGCCTAGTTGTAGATATATTTATGATATCTGTGATGTTGATGTTTTTCCACCAATATTAATGTAAGTTGAGAGATTGATGCGGCCCTTTATAAATTAAAGATAAATAGACATCTCTGCCCACCGAGCTGTGTATATAGATAGATAGGTTGAATCACATTTTCTGTACATTTTATGGGCCTGCCATATTGATAGAGCTATTGAGTATCCTGCTTAAAATGTTATTTCCCCCAAGCTGGGGGTCAAACAAATTATACTTGAATCAATAAGTGCTCATTTTCACCATGGTTTTCAGTACATATACATAAATGAGTAATCAATTACTTTTTAGTAGGGCTAAATGAGTATTATCAGCTGGAAACTACCAGGGAAGTTGTTGGGACCCTTTGAAATAATCAAATACGCTCCACTTTATAGTTTATCACATGACATTTTAAACAGTTTAATCACCATTAGCGGAATAATACTCCATAACAATATCAGAAATTTATACTGTAGTTATGTATAGAATGTATACATGATTAGAGGACATAAAATGGTGCACATGATATTGTAATGTTGGGAAAGTTGCGAACAACTCATAAATAAAAGCAGCATGTAGATTTTTACCTGGACAGATTGAAGTACAAGCTATGCGGTTGACAGCTTCCCCAGCACAAGAGGCGCCTCCATTTAATGGGGCGGGGTCTGTACATGTTCTTGTTCGTCTTTGAGTACCCTTTCCACACTTGGCTGAACATTCAGTCCACTGACTCCATGTTGACCAGGCACCATTTACTGTAAATGAGAAACAAAAAGTGACAATCAATTACTCAAAATTTGCATAATGTTATTCCAAGCGTCCGGTATAAAATACATAAATAGCCTTGGCAGCTGTCCATCTATTTTGTAATTTACGATATTAAAGTCACTCATTTATTTTCACAATTTTTTCTTATGTTGTAAGAATATGATTTAAACGTAGCATAGACGTAGATTTATCTAAATCAATGTCACATTGATGTTAAGGTTTTTACATTCCAGAAAGAGATATATATGTACATATAATTTATAGACAAGCTAAAATAAGTCTGTATTGAAACATTTCAGACGGCTATTAAGAAAATGACATGTGCCCAATTAGATAATGAGACAACCAATGTTAATGACGTCGGTAACCTGTTCGCTGTGTTTTTGACATGTCTACATTATTCCTGATATTGACAGAATAAAATTTCTTGTATGGCCTCGGAACACAGCCATCTCTAACAGCAAGTTACAATTGACTTGCTCATCTAAATCATAATCTATCTCAATGCTTTAGGGAATATTTTAAAATATATTTTATATGTGTGGAACTTATGTCCTGAACTAAATATGAATATAAAATGAATTTACCGAGAGGTTTTAGTGAATATTACCACAAATCTCATTGCAAAAATAAATCATTGCATGGAGTCAAGCTTGTTTTTTAATTGCAGCATCTTGTGTTTGTAAATTTCTTTTGACGTACTTTGATCGGTTGTTATAGAAACCGTAATAACGAACCGTATTAGAGACAAATAAAAACCTCTACAATACTTAACGGAGATGAAAATAAGGTTAATTACTTCTAATCAAGAGACAAACAGGTAGTTTGATGTTTTACAAGAAACAGCTTGTCATCATTTCTAAATTTAATATTCTATATACAGATGATAAAAAAAAACAACAAAAGAGAGCTAGACCTAGACTCTTTTTCATATGTTTCCATGGTAATAAATAAACAAGATTTATTAATGACTTAAAATGTTCTATGGTAGATTTCAAAGTCTTTTGCTATTTGTCAAACAAGTACATATGTATATTATATTGCAGATGGAAGGAGTAGGAGTGTTTCATATTTCTTTCACTCGTGTAGATATTTTTTTTATAGTTATTTCTAAGCCGATTATATTTGATGTAAAAAAAAACAAAAAACATAACCATAAAAATCGGTAAACAAAAAGCTTGAATTCTCAAAGCTATTTCTTATTTTGAACATAACATATTAATTTTGATTTAATGAAATTTTTACTTAAATCTTTTTAAATTGACATAAAAAGATCACTGCCTAATTATTTGCTCAAATGAGTTCTGCTGAATGACAAAGCATTTTTTTTTTTTTTTAACACAGACTACATTAAACAAACTGACAAAACTCTCTTCCCTTAATATGGCCAACTACAAAAATATATGTTATTTCTTTTTTTGTCGGACTAAAAAAGATTGGTTTTATTCAATACATCAAGGTACTTAGCTTTATTAGAAGTTTTCCCAGCAATTTGTCAGGGAAATAAAAATAGGCTCATTTGATTAGATTTTTAAGAATGAATCCAATTAAAATGACAAGCCAGACTTATAGATATCATACTGTCTGTATGTAAATCAAGTCTATTTGAAGAAAGAGATTTCAGTAGAAGCAGATTTATTATTAATCTGATATTACATAAATCACCAGTAATGTGTGTGTTCTTTAATATAGCTCATGTCAAAGATGAAGAAAAAATCAATAAGTTCTATCAATTATTAAAGCTCTATATCATTTGATATATGACAGATACCACTGTTATGTTTCAGTTGTAATTATTTTCACTGCATTAAGCGAATGAAGCCTTCCTCTCATCCCTTCACTTTGGTTCTAAAATAATGACACGAGTTTAATATACAAGATGGGAGGAAGAATCCTTGCTAACAGATCAATCTGCTAAACACAAGGCTACAAGTTAAAGTCGCGGGTCCTGATTGTGCATTTTTGGACAAAGTTATAGTCGTGGGTCCTGATTGTACATTTTTGGACAAAGTTATAGTTGCAGGTCCTAATTGTGCATTTTTGGACAAAGTTATAGTTGCGGGTCCTTATTGTGCATTTTTGGACAAAGTTATAGTCACGTATCCTGATTGTACATTTTTGGACAATATCTAACTTTTTATGCTTAGAAATCTATGTAGCCGTCCCATATTTCTCTCATGAAACGATTAGTTTCATTCAGTTCGAACTCATCATGCTTAAGTCAGATTGTGCGGATGTACAATTTATATAGTCATTGGTGACTGGAGCACAAAATGGGTCTCGGATGGACTGGCGCAATGCTGTATCACCGGAGCAACTTAATCCAAGATAAAAATTTCTCAGTACTCAAAATTATTTATTTAAGACATCAAACCAAAATATCAATGGAGGATTATTAACTCCTAACTTGAATTCAGTCGGATCAAAAAGAGGCCCATGAAAAGATTTTAGCTGGCACTGTTGTGAAATTTTCAATCTATCATATCTTTCTAATCTAAATACCGTACTGAATAGAACAGGACCATGTTTGTGCTGGTATTCCTACCAGAGATCGGGGATTTGATGGTCGAATGGTTAGCCGTGTGCACGCGGTATCATAAGGCCTGTCATTGAGTCAACTGGCGTGGTTTCGATTCCCCGGTTTCCCCCCACTGCTAAAGACCCCTATGCTCAAGTGAATTATTGAAATAAAATTGAACCATATGTTAGTCTGGAAATAACCTATTTTTATGTTGAGTGGACGTTAAGCTCTGTCTCTGTCTCTCTTGCGATATTGTAGCTTGAAGAGATTTAAAATCCCTCAAATGATGACGAGCAGCTTTAATGTCCAGCCATTAAAAAAAAAAGTCCTTCAAATTCCCTAGTTGGTTCACCCATCACTCATTTCGGTTGTGGTTATTCGTGTAACTGTTTTATAGCCGAAGCACTTAAATTTCATTATACTACTAGCTAATGGCTGGTAAAAGGAGACATACTGTCACTGTCATGGTTGTCTTGTCATGACAAAGTTTAACTGATACATTTATGTTTAATTCAAATGTAGTTTTTCTCTAGGCGCCTTTCCCTAACATTTATTATAGTATTTAATACAACTTCCTCTATTTTACTATCAGACTCCCTGTACACAATCTAAATATAGACCGCCATCTCCTTGCTTACGTTTTACTAACTTCTGTTAATATAAGACATGATTCTTCAATTTGTAATAAATGGGTGCTCATGCTTCCACCGAATATGAGTTTGTATTAAGAATTTAGGGGGAAGTGTTTTTTTGTTTACATATTGATTGTCATAGCAACCGTCCTTTTTACAATTACTACCTGCCTACAGTAAATCTATATTTAAACCGGGTCTTTATAGGAATGATTCTGTCAGTTTGTACAGGCTGGAAATTACAAGTAATTGACTTCAGCGCAATGAACACTCATCTGAAATTCTCGTCTGCTTTGAGTTCATGTAATTTCATTATACTTACCAAATACGGTTAATACAGCAGACTCGCTAAAGCGTCGACTTGCAGGATTCTGGGCTCCACAAGTATAATTTCCTGTATCTTTTAAACGTGCCTGATTGATAATCAAGTTTCCCTCGCTGGAAATAATGAAATTGATTTCTTTCCAAACTTCGATCATTTCTCCATCTTTTAACCAAAATACCTGAAACAAAATATGATTGAAGAGTTTTTATTTTATTCTGTAGGCCGACCAATCTCATTAACAAATATATTTACTTGTTGCAATAAGTGAGATAGTTTCAATATCGATAATATCTTTTATCTAGTCAAAATAATGGCAGCTCCATTTCCATTTGATGACAGAACATGCAGAATGTATAAAGATGGACGGGGCTGTCAAATTTCTTTATTGATATTCCATGTTGTATAATATATCAATCCATCTACAGAGTAAACAAAATCAATTTTTTTTGTATCAAAGTCACTTTTAAATAGAATGTTGCTTTTTTTTTACCAAATATCATTTTTTTTTATTTAACCTTTTCATTTAATATTGTGAAGGCTTATCTCACACTTTCTATAATAATCTGAGAATGTGATCATCTTTATGAAATTTTTGTTTTTATCAGATGTGGTTGTGTAGTCACTGTCCTATACTAGATTTTGAATGCTTTTCAAGATGGTCATAATGCAGCTGGTCCCCCATCTTGATGTTAGATTGGTTCTAGGTTCTATCATTTTCTCTTTTAAATACAAATTCCATAATTTTCTATGAGGTTGTTTTATGTCAAGTTCATTAAGAAATTGCCACAAACTTTATTTTACATGTTTAAAACATAATCTTATTACATGTATAATGTAGGTTATATCTGGATTCCATCTGTGTGAGGTGTGCTAACTCAATTAATTCATATAATCCATTCTTTATGTGCGACCATTTGTTCACTTTTCCCCTGTCTCTCCATTTTTATAATAACAAAGTTGCAACAAAGCTTGTCCAATATCTTGTAAATTCATTAAGTCATATTTTTTTTTCATAAAATATTTAAAATTAAAAAAACATGGGTGTTACATGTGGTTTGTCAGTTGACCAAAAACACCATTTAGGAAGTCAGGAGGGAAAGGGGTGCTCTGATGCATGCACCAAGTTTTGAATTCTGTACTATTTCAAATCTAATTAAACTTTGTCTCTTATTTTCACATAATATATTAAATGTAATCAAAACACATCTTTATTTTCACAGAATCATGCAAGTAACAGTTGTAAATTAAGGTCAGACTAGATGTCAAACTAGTGCTATTTGCTCAAACTGTGAATGCCCCAGGACCCTATGATAAAGAATGTGGCAGTTGGTCAAAATATGTTGACTTTTTTTCCACCACAAAAATCCATAAAGTTCAAGTTTAACAAAAGAGGTATGATTGAGTACCAGTAAGTGAAATGTTCCTAATGTAAGCCAAAAAAACAAGATTGATTTTATCTTCTGTCTTGAGATTCATATTGAAGTTTTGTTTGTTACATATGTTGGCAAACCTTTGTGTGTTTTGCCCACCATGTTCTTATAGAAATAAGGAAAAAACTCTCAGTGACTTAGTTAATGGATTTTCTTTTGTTTCTTTTTTCCGCGAGTTGTTTTGTAACAGGTGTAAAATTTATATTGCTGGTATTGGGTTGTGTCGACCAAAATGTATCTTGTCTGAGGTGTGTGTTGATCTTATCTTCAATTCTCTATTTCAAATAATCCCCAACAAGTTATTTAGAAACATGTTTAAATAACGATGCTTTTCACCCCTGTAAACACAATTTATTTCTAGCTAAAACAAAAGCCATATGGGATGTTCTGACAAGAGTTCATGATTTCAAAACCGAAAAAATCCATCATGTTATCATTTGTTTTCAGTCTTGATTCAATTCTGCACATCGCATCGTTTACATTCAGAATTAAACAAAATGGTCAAACTTTACTTTTGCCATTACATTAACTCGAACATTGATTTTATTTTTAGAAAATCCTTGGCCCCAAAATTTATAAACTCTTTGTAGACTATCACCAGATTTTAACACTAGTATAGTAATGACTGTAACCACAAAACAATCACCTTGTATAAATATGGTCACACAGATATGAAAATCCCTCCACTCTCGCAAATTAAAACGGGAGAGATTGAGTTTCCATTGAGTGATAAGAAGACAATGGGGGGTGTTTCAGGTAGGCCACCGACCTGATCAACACCTTGACACTTGATAGCCACACTCAAAATATTGATTTCAAATTGAATCCTACTTATCTTTTGACAAGATAAACCAATAAAGACTGGTTTTCAGTAGTTTGATATTTTACTAACAACTACCCTCCGTAGCCTCGACACCTTACACCTCAGCTATATAAACAGTGTATATAATATATGTAGTTAAAGTTTTAAAATATCTACTACATACAGATTATAGTCTTTATACATCATACAAAAGATAAGCTTATCAATGTTAATTATAATCAGGACTATTTGACAGACCACACCCAGTCTTATAATGACAAATGTTACAGCTGTAATTCAGCTTTTTGGGGGGTAGACATTCATCAAGAAAATATCTTTTAAAATCTCTACTCATATTTATTTATTTGATGCATTCATCACAGATGGAGGTGAGCCGGCTGGGTTTTGAAAAGCTTGAAATATATGGGTAAATTTACAAAAAAATAATTTGGGTGTGAAGCGAGGGGACATACGCATGTGCTGTACGTGAAATCCTGGAAGAGATTACCAGCATCTGTCAATGTGTAACATGTATTCTTCACACGGATACTTGATACATCAATATCTATCTAATGACGAATGCACATTTAAAATTGTTTTTGAAATTAAAAGTTGTCTGTATAGATATCGTGAACGATATGACAAAAATATGAGAATTAAATAAATACAGAGATTTATCTTGGTGTAGAATGAAATTTAAATGATTTGAGATATTTTTTTTAAACCATTATCAACCTAACATCATTTTCCCAGTCTTTCTATCTGATACAAGAACAGACAGGTGATACATCTGCTCTTTGTCTACAAATTGTTGCTGTGAAAGCAATAAGTTCATATCACACTACTTTCATAAAGCCTAGAAAATATTTATCGAAGGGAATACATGAGTTCTTCATATTATTGCCCTATATTATCTATACATGTATCTACTGTGTATGACACATTTATTATTCCATGTATCATCAATGAACTGGAATATTATGGGAGGAATTCTCCACTTTATGAGCAAATAGATAGGTTTCTATCATCTACCAGCATACCAAATGATGGTATTAACTTTGTGGAATGCCTCCATCATATTTCTCTATCGGTTCTTCTACAATATTTTTGATTTAATGCACGACAGGGACACAAAATATGCTCTGTAATTAAAGCTGGAATCTGAACATCATTCTACAACTTTTTACAAAAGAGGGTCTGCAACAAATTACAGATGACAGATAATAAGTTATGTGCCTGGCAGTTGTTTAAAAACATGACATGTTCACATCATATCTATGATGGTTAAATTTACCTTAGCAACTGGAGTTTGAAAATAAAATGGTGGTTAAGTAACAAACACACCAGGTTAGTATTCATAATTCTTGAAGACTAGGTGAAGAATATTTGCAATGAAATTCTAAAAATCTCTTGTTGCATCACAATTTCTAATCTCTGACAGCTAAATTTACCTTAGCAACCAAAGCTTCAAAATATAATGGTTGTTCTTTAAAAACAAAACAGAGATTTGGAGAGGGAGAGTGAGAGAGAGAGAGAGAGAGATGAGGTTGGACAGGCGACCCTACTCCTAGTCACATACAATCGGGGCAGATTTGGGGACTACATGTAGGTGAAGAATATTTTCAATAAAAACTTGTTAAGAATTCCTAATCTGGATTCTGGAATCCTTCATTTTTTTTTAGCATAATGTGTTATGCAGTATACCTACCTCAGGTAATGGTTTGCCCTCTGGAGGTAAACATTGTAATTCGACTGTTGATTGAAGTTCCATGGTTTGGCTCATTGGAACTCTTTGAAATCTTCTTTTCAAATCTGAAATGTATAAATTATAATTTGGTAAGATTTGAATGTAATTTATACAGACGATAAAAACAAACTACCATGTTTGGAATAGCAAGTAGAGCAGAAACAAAAGTTTTGTAGGAAAAAAGGTGAATCGATACATAAAATATCATAAAGCCCATTTAATAAAACTGTTGGATAAAGTTTATATACATGTATATATTTGTGTTTTTAACATTATATATGTACTTATCATACTTTAAATTAGAAACCCTCCCTAAGAAGAAAAGAGTTTGACCCGCATCATTGATTTAAAGGCTACTAAAAATGGTTGCTCTTTTGTTCACAAGCAATTTATTTTCATTTACATCTATACCTATTCATGCCTAATTTCACACACAATGGCCACCATGGGGTGTAGTCCACATTGAAACCAACCATTTCCCATGTTATGCAGTCATTGAAGCATACAATATGAACATTTAATACAAATATTTCCTCTTAAAACATTGATATATTTGACCACAAAGTTTGACAGACAGAATATCAAACACAATCGGCAAAAATATATATTTACTTCTTTTCCTTGGTGACCTCAACTAATATAAGACATTATAAGCCCACTGAGTGTTCTTCACATTTCTACTCCAGAAACTAAATATGTTTATACATAAAAGGACTTCTTTCTTCCCAGAAAGAACCAAGCAGTTATTAATTGTTGGATAAACAAACCAAACCTGTTGCCAAATTGTTACCAAATTTTGTCATCTGTCCGGGATATCTACCAAACATTCTTTCTATTGCTTTAATCAGTGTTTCAGTCACACTGGAAACTTAACATTGGCAGGTGTACACATTGGTCTTCTGGTATCCTTATGCCCAAATCTGCCTTTCCCACATTTTTGCTAAGTCAGTTTTTCATTTCTGCAGTGTTCTGAAGCACATGTTTGTACAAATACAGTACACAACAAGTGTATCAGTAGAAAGATTTTCAGAGAAATATTTCTCCAGAAATACGTATGGAGGAAATGAGCAGAAGGCCACCAGATTTTGTCAAGATTTCTCCCAGGTTGATCGTATGATTCTAGAAGTGTAATGCAATGAGAATCCACCCCACGTAGGGAGAACTCAGATGATTTATTACACTTGCAAACATCAAAATGCATACAAAAACGACCCCCTAACCCCTCCAAATAAAAAAAACAACAACCATACACTAAAATATCAAGAAGAAACACCTTTTGGCTTCAGGATAAAACACATAATGTTTTGCTGCAACATTAGAATAAGAAATCAATTCAGTTTTATTTTGTGAAATGTTTACAGCTATATTATCAGCTCCAGATTATAAATATGTAAATTCAGCATCATTAGGATGTTAATTGGTGAGAATATAATAGCATATGACATGTATATTCTATTGGTACCCAGATAATTGAGAGTTCATTAATTCCTCATAGTACTAGCCGTAGTATGGCCATAGATCTCCATTTATATCACTGGAGGAATTGTAACATATTTAGAATTGATTCTATAATAAAAGTAACCCTTTTATAGTAGTCAATCTTCTAACCCATCACACTATCAAAACTTTTTCAATATTCTTGTCAAGTTAGTAAATGGGCCCTTGAGAATTTCCTACTAGCACATAAATTCGAGGAATTTCATTAATAGAAAATGACTGGAGTTTAACTGAAGCCTCCTTTCATCATAAAACCATATTGCCCAAGTGATAATTACATTAAGAATGTACTATCGACTATAATCACGAAGTCTATCGACTCATTCACAACCAATTCATGGACAATTATTTTTCTTTAAAAACGATGGCACGTTATTTGGCTAAAAGTAATGGCTGATATACTCCTGAGATTATAGATATAAAATCTTTTTACGAGTTTTTGTGACTTAGACCTGATCTTTACGAGATTTGATCGCAAAAAAAGTTTTTCCTTTTGTATACATATTTTTTTTAGAAATAATGGCAGCTATCTCATAAAGGATATGCAAGACTATATGTAACTGCTGAAACGTATTCTAGGAGATAAAAATGTGAAGTATTTTAACGTTTTATAAAATACAATATATAGGATCTAAAATTTTAAGAATTACTCATCTTCTCCACATTTAATAGTCTGCAGGTGTGTTATGATAATACACTTCAAATTCTTGTTTTTTTTTGATAAAATAAAAGTATCAAGCCTCCACCTAGGACTTATCAAACCTTCATCTCAGTTCTAATCCTAACAAAGACTCACTTTTTAACCATTTTTCTCAGCAAGTACATGTAATAATGTAATGACTGTCTAAGACACTAGAATTATCCCAGCATGGATTTTCAATTTTCGTCATCATATATGGAAATGTCCCCATTCATGAAGAAATTAAACCAGAGGAAATTATTTGTAGGTCTCTTTCTATTAAATGTTAACAATTGCCCATTCAGTAAGGTAATAGCTATCAGAAAACCAACAATGGCTGTTAAAATGGCAACCAGCTTCGTGTCATATTCTATTAATCATTACCAGTAATAAACTAACTAACTCCTTTTCAATTCATTTCACTTTTCATCTTACAAGTCAAGTATTTCAATTTACTCAGACCACCAGCCGTTTTTATAAATGTGTAATACACAAACTCATGATAATCTACCATATCTATCGAATCAATTCATGCATGGTATATTCCAATCAAGCCGACGCCAGGCTCTTAAGTTTGTCTGAAATTTGGATACTGAAATATGTAGAGATATATCCCATATTTACATTGCGTTTAATCCTCATAGCCTGTAAAAGATACCAGACTTATCTGAAAATCTTTTAGAGTTATCGCTCCTGATTTGAAACATCTGTGTAAATGTAAATCATCCGCCTAACTTCACTAGATGCACTTTCTCGTGAAAATTAACGACTAAATTTGTCAGGTTTTTGTGGGTAATTTGGAGTACAGAACTTAACTGCCCATATCACAACCTTAGTGTTTTCTATTCCCCAAACTAAAAATATACTACTATTTTTATATCCAGTCATTTTTTTTTACTAAATGTAGCTTCAAATATTTCTCAACTCAATTACTAGACCAGACCTTCGACTACCATTTTTTTCTCTAAGTTCAACAAACACACTAATTTTTTACTCCAAAGGTTGATGCCTTTGCCAACAAACACTAATTAATTATTCTTACCCTACACCACATTCTTGAATATAAACACAAAATGTAGATCTGAATTTAAATAACTCTGTCCATTAAATTAAATACATGTATCACTACATGTATTCATGTTTGTTTTCAAGATAAAAAAAATCCACCAAATTAGCATTAACCTTACAAACTCTAAACAACTATATTCTACAAGCAAAATCCTGTTAGTTTTCGTTTTGTCTTAAATGTCTATCAAAATGACAAAAAGGTTACAAAAACTATTTAAATAAAGATATCCGGCTTTATTCAGAAAAACTTGAACTAATTATTTGAATAATCCAGGCCTTTCATTGGCTAAGAATTAAAATTTGTCCCAGGATTTCGATTCTCATTCGGCATTTAAAATGTTAGCATCCTTAAAATATTTAATTTGAAGTTTTCGTGAATTCTGTCTCTGATTCAATAATCTTGGCCATCATGTAGGTTTAATTCTATAAATACAATACATGTACGTTCTAGATTCCCTTCAGTATTGATTAGATCTCGGAGAAAAATTTGTACCTCTGCTTCAGAAAGTTACATCTACAGACGGTTCCAATGACCAAAACAAATTCAATGACAGTAAAGAAGAGATCGGGACAGGGATTTACTCACATCTTAAATTAAGTGGAAAACTATATAGGAAATTGATCAGGTTGCTGTTCCACAAGATGACAATAATATAACCAGTTAGGTAATTGATTTTCCAATGAAAGATCATTGCTGAAGCTCTTGACTCCAATCAAATGAATACATACTTATACAAACATCCGATTACCATCATTTGATGCTATCAATCTATCTCCAACAAATCAATGTGAAATCTCGCAAGCAGTTACGATATCTAAATGGATATAGTGACACAGGGCTCAGTGGAATTGATGGCGTTTTAAGCCATGAATCTCAAATCGCCTACCTCTCAATAAGTTAAGTATCTTCAAGTACAAAGGGCTTGAGGAGGCATTTTCGTTACAATCAATTTATCAATTGAAACAAACGTGGTGTAATCTAGCTAAGTATTTTGACTTACAAATGTGCCTTGAGATTATCTCTTACACGACTTTCTATCGATTCCATTCCCAAAAGACTTCAATGGTCGAATATTTAAATCGGTTTTTATTAGGAAGGAAAGAACACTAATGCCAACCCTTATAACAACAATCATGGACCGAGAAAGAAAATTAATTACTATAGTCCAGAGATCAGGAATTCCCATCAGTGGCATACTAATTCAAGTCTTCAAAAACAGTATAAAAATAAAAGTAGTATATTATCTAGAAGGCAGCTGAATAATATTCATTTTTTTTTAATTTGAGTAAAACAATATATGCAAGGTGCTGTGATAACACAATCTTAGAACCAATGCGTTCGGCTGCATCATAACAATACTAGTTTCTGGGTGTGGCTTTAATTGCTAAATCATGTACCTTACAAGTATTTACCAGTATGGAGACTTCAATAAGTTTATTCATTTAAATTGTTTATAACCAAACATGCAGAGAAGGCCAAGGTTGTGTTTTGTTTTGTCTGGTGTCATTGCTAGAATGAAACACATTGCTCTCAATTGCCATCTCAATATTTGTAAATAAGAGATTTGGAGGGGGAATAATCTTGAATATTTCCAGGATGTATTTTAGTCAAACAAAGTGTCTAATTCAGTCAACATTCACATGCATGTTTATTGTTTTATTCATTTAAATTAGAGGCCAAAAGAACTAATTACAGGATCATTAGCACTATTCTTCGGTTGCTATTTGGCAAGTAGCGCACACCCAGAAAAAAAAGTAAAAGTGTTTTGGGGGGTTTCACTCCCCGCTGTTGATACACATTATTTAAAGAAAAAGGCTGGCAAAATGCCGTTTGCGAAAACGGATCATTTCCCTTATGCCCCGCAGGTGTCTTCAAACTAAAAGATATACTTGTATATTTTCAGCCTATTATTCTGTGATGATATTATAATTGATTGGTTTGTCAGTTAAATAAATAACAACAAGTGTTAAAAAATAGACAGACAAACACGTTGAGGTGATTTACATTACAGAAAAGTGATCCTAGTAGCGGTGGTTATAGGCACAATGGAGGATAGACTGCTATTGTCATTATTTACCATTGTTATACTATATTACTAGAAAATCAAGGAGATTTCCAGAAGTGTTTATATTTACATATAAATAAATAAGAAAGTTATCTAATGATGACGATTGTGAATATTAGCGTCTGTTCACCAGCACTTCTCCCAGACAGAAAAGTATGAGAACGTTCTGGCAATACACCTGTTATAACATTACATGGCTGTTTCTTGGTGATATTAACTCAATACATGTTCTACAAATGATATATTTTCTCTACTAATGAATCTAACTTCCTACATGCCTTAGTAACTGTTATACAGACAAGAAGCGCTGTTGTGTCTGTTGTTCTTCATGATTACCACTGCTTACTTTTTCCCCCCCTAAAAATTCACTCACAGATGGATTTTTAGACAGAGAATTAACTAGAGTTTTTGTTCCCTTCCAGGTCATATCTTTTCTGGCTTTGGCAAGTTCTACAAGGTAGACATTTGAACATGAAACCGATCTTAACAGAAGATGTATTACTTAGGCTAAAGTTTCCTTCTCTGCATCATCTGATGGCCAACATAAGCAAATAATTATAAACACACAATTGAAGGTGTTACCCACAGCAAAACATTCTAACTATTAGAAATTGTAATCATTCCATTTAATAAAGCCAAGTTAATTCAATATGAATGCTAGTTAGTTGATTCTAGCTAAATAACATTTAATAAAGTTAAGCTATTTCAATATAAATGTTAGTTACTTTTCTCTCATGAAATAACCTTTATAAAGGTAAATTATTTCTATATAAATTCTAGTTAGTTAGTTCATTCTGTATAACATTTAATAAAGATTGGTTATTTCTATATAAATTCTAGTTCGTTAGTTCATTATAGCTTTAATACAACTAGATTATTTCTATATGCATGTAAATGCTAGGTTGGTTGCTCAGTTAATAAAGATTGGAGATTTCTGTATAAATAATAATCCTAGTTCAATCTAGCTGTTTGGCATTTCAAAGATATAAATGTTGTGATTTCATTCTAACTAAACAACGACACTAATTTGAAGAACGCCAGAAAAAACAACAACATAATAATGATTTTTCTTCATGGAACATTAAGTTGGATTCATTGTAAAGAAATTCTCTAAGAGAAAATGTTTGAAATATTAATGAGATCAAATCATTTGAAAAGCAAATAAAAGAACATGTACATCTTTATGAACCCGCATTTAAAGTTCATTTGAGATAATATCAAATTTTGATGTTTTCCAGTCTTTGGGTATTGTTTTTTAGGTCTTGGTATAATCTTCTTTTCTCTACCATCTGGTTTGACTTTTAAATTGGAAAGGTGATAGAACCAAGCCTTCTCTATGACAGTTTCAAACATGACATTTAACTAACTACAACACAAAACACTGACCAGAGCCACCAACTACACATAGCAAATATAGAAATAGGAGTGAGCCTGTCACATCAAAGAAAACACTTTTTCTTGGTATCGGATATATCTTTCCATGCTATTGTTTTGTTTCATTCTCGTATATTTTGACTAGTTCTTTGTGGTGGTTTTATATGTCAATTACTGACCAAATGCCCACCTTTGTCCTGAACTGTCCGAAAAACATCTCAAGGCAATTGAAGATTTCTAATCATTCTGCTTTAAGGTCAAAAGCGGTAGAAACATTGTCTTATCTTAGTAAGGAGATCGGCTGAACCATACAGTATCTATCAACCTCCCAAACCTTTCTTTTCGGTCAGTATGTGATGTCCTCCACCTGGTACTAATGTCTTACTAGTTAACCAATCATTTGTAAGCTTCCATAAAGATGTGGAACAGTATCAGAAATGAAAATAGTAACATGTAATATAGTCTTGCTACCACAGTACCACACAAGCCACTTCTGTATAGTTTGTTTACCATCAACAATTAGATTTAGAGAGAGACACACATTACCAGTGCCAGATATAACAAATGGCCGACTGCACGATGATAAGAGAATTACTGCCTTCATAGATAAACATACTTCCTTTCTGATATAACAAAGACACTCTATTATTTGTGGTAATTATTTTTACTGGGGGTTGGAATGTTTTCTGATGTTAGGCCTTGTATTGAGAAAAGATATAACTATGATCTACATGTACTTACATGCTACCTCCACCATAGCTCGATTACTTTTGCGGCTCTGTGGATCACTGGAACCAGGCACAGTATTCCAGGCATAACATTCACACCAATATCCATCACTACCATAATATTCTTCCACCTCCTCCTTTGTGAGTTCGAGACTGGATTGTAGAGTCTTTATACCCGAGACCGGATCTATTAATTCTAAATTGACTTGTTGTTTCGCTGGCATCTTTTTTCCCGCGCAAACATACGTTATCAAAATGGCTGGTGTGGCTTTACAACTTATAATAACCGGTTTGTTCTTCACCATGTAATAATTATCTTTAGGTTCTTCATTAAATACGGGTAAACCTTGTGCCAGTGGGTTGCTACTACCGATGACTGGAGCTAGGAGATCACCTGAAAAATCAAAATGATGACACATAAGTAACAGTATCAATGCCAAATTACATTCATATCATAATGATGGGATAACAATGTTTTGGGTTTCAGACAAATTGCATTTCAGCTGCTCTGGATTGTACACGGTTGTGTTTTTTTCTATATGAATGACATGGAAACTGTCCCTGAGATTTGGAATAAATAAGTCTAATTTATCAACTGACATGGCTGAAAGTGCCAATTATCTCTTCTAAAGTAACTTAAACTCCTAATCCAGTAATGTTGGATGTTTGTTTTAGTTTTCTTGTGCCCTCTAACTAGCTTAATCTGCTCGACAGACATTTAATATAACATATAAGCCACCCGTATGCTATATGAGCCTGTCAAAGTAAACATAGAGAATACCTTTAACTATAATGGGTAATACATGTTTCATTCAGTTCATTTACGTGGAGGTAAAGAGATTACGGCAAAGTGTGTAGATTGAGGTTTTTATCATTAAGGATGTACCTTTCACACAGGTACTAAACGAATTCTATTCCATGTGGAAATGTGTTGATGATCATTAAAAATGTTGTGTTTATTGGTTTACGTCTTGTCGGGTTCATTTTCACCTTGTTTCCAACATATTTATGATTGCTAAAAGTCCTGTGTTTGCGGTATATATAACTACTAACTATTATGTACTACATGCTCGATATTATGTAAGACAACCAATGGTTAAGCGATTCTCATTTTTCTAACTTTCACGTTTTTGTCTTAAGTCGATCTTGTTTTAAGTGTTGTGATGTGCCGAACAGATTGGTTAGTTGCTGAGGAGAGCTGTTTTTACGATGTACAATTGATATTATAGATGGGTATATTACATGTACAGACTACACACATCCCTAGTCACCAAATCAATCATTAGAACATATCATGATAGATTCAACCTTCTAGTTTCTTTTTATACATACTATTATCTTGGTTTCTCCATCATGAATTTTATCACTTGTTTCATGTCCTCGGACACAAATTTATTTCTTTTGTAGCTGTAAATTGATTTATTTTTCGAAAGATAAATTTCTGTCTTCTTCCATTTAATATGAGGGTAAAAATGAAAGATTATACTCTAAGTAAGATTTAATATGATTAAGATTAAAAGCTAGTGTAAGATTGACTATCGGGTTGATAAAGGGAGGAAGATTGATACAATAATTTTACCTATCATACATACTACTTATCTTTTGATAGGTAGGTAAACAAGCATATAATTCACTGCCTGCCAGTAACTAAGTAGTATAGAATGCAAGCGAAACCTGCCTCCTGTGGAGTCTGTTTGGTCAATTGATATGAACCCAGGTGACCCAAGTGGTCAGCTGATATTATCTTTCTTGATACCATGAGCTTAGCTTTCTTCTTACAAAATATACCCTAACTACCTGTGAATGACTTTTCCACCTATTTATATATACAATCTTATTAAAGCTTGAACGAACTAACTTAACAGGTACAAAACCCTACATCAATACAGAAATATCCAATTTACTTGACTATATTAACAATTACTTCAGATAAAGCCAAGATCAGTTCTGGATGTTTTTAATCCATTTTGAACCCATGTAGATTACAGTTTCTTATAAGGATATTCCAGCATAATATTCAGGCTTATGTATTATTTATTTATTTATTTAAATATATATAGTGAACTCATGTTGTTCATGAATATATATAGAGAGAAAGAGGAACTTTATTTTTTCATGAAATTTTATATTCACATATGAGAATAATACAACGCTCTTAGAATATTGTGGTTTTTGCTATGTTTTAATAATTTTCTCTTGAATAGAATAATTATTGGTTCCATATGAGCCTGCCTTTTCATTCTTTCTGAATCACTCTTTCTGTTTCTACAATTATAGTGGTTCTATAGACTTTAGTCACTGATAATAGTACTTACAATTATTCCCATGAATTATTTAAGGAGATATTGTGAGTGTGATAAATAGCACGCTCTCTAGAGATGGTGAAAAACGCTGCCCAAGATACGATTTTTGCCAATAAAATATTCAGTTCGACCAACAATATATGACAAGGCATGACCTGTAAATCTCTGAGGGTCATGTCTAAACCAGACGCAGAAGGAAACTAAGCTTAATAGTTGTAAAGAAAGATGGCAAACGTTATAGAAACTAGTTAAACTTTATTCTATCTATAGAAAATACGAAAGATTAGTTCACACTATTCTTTTATCATGATTGCCCGAAGGAAATATGAAAAATCAGCCAGTATTGGGATAATGTGATGAACTAAATCTCCTTGGTATTAATGTGCTTGATAGAAAGGAATTAACTTGCCTTCGAATCCAACCATATTGTTCTTTTATGACTTGATGAAATTTTCACAAAATAAAAGATCTAATGACTAGTAATGTACGTGATATGAAGGAAATGGAGTAGTTGACTTTGAATTAGAACAAGATGCTCTGTTAGAATGAATTTATATCAACCAGTAAATGTACATGCATGTTCAGTCAACAATCAACAAACTGTACAGAATCCATTTTGAATTCAATTTATTCAAAGAGGGAAATCGGCTGCGGAGAATGTGTACATTTTCTAGAAATCACAGACATTACTCAATGGACTTGCATTCTTTTTGAGTATTTTATACAAAAAAAAACCCATATAAAGCTATTTCTTTTTTAAGATCTTTTTCGTGGAGATTTGTTTTCAAACTTTGAGTGTGTTAAGATGTAAAAATGTCTCAGTAGGTAAACTATGCGCCTTTGGTTATAATCGTCCTTTCCTTGTACATATGGCTAACATATGGACCACGTTCACAGACCTAAGAGAGGTTTTCGTTTAACATGAGAAGGGTATATGTACCAGCTAATTTCATACCATTGTTTTCCTAGTATCTCCAGTGATACAAACTGGAATTTACCCTATTAGATAGCCAGTGGCTGATGGCATAAATTAGTGCAACAGTCTTGGGGATGAGAATTCTTAGTGTGGGCTGGCCGGGAAGACCTAAGGTACCGGTAATGAAAATCATCTGGAAATAACTCTCAGCATCAATTTAATGAAAATTCTTTTTACTTTATAATGATATAGTATCGGCTTCCATTGCTAAAAATTCTCTTCATTTCTCATACAGAGTCAAAAATTGTGTCATATTGTAGAGTTTATTAATAAAAAGAGACATAAAGAGACAAGAGGTATTGAAGAACCTTAGGGATAAGTGTTCTACTTGTAGAAATAGACGTACATGTCAAAGATCAGTTATAGAATATTATCTAGACTAACAAACTTAATCCTAACAGACCTAACAATTACAAGGACCTGTCAAGCGTTTCCATGACAAGAAAAATGGCGTGCTTTATTAGAGTGATATGATTGTTATTAGATCAGTCAGTCAGCATGGCAACACAAGAAATAGGAAATAGTTTTTTTTTCCGGCAATCACCAGGCACACAGTGGGGGATACAATCGAATCAATAGCCAATAGGCCGATAGAAATCATGGCTATATTACAACTATTACTGATTGATTTCTTAATTGAAATCCGCGTCTTTAACGACACTAATTAGTGATATGATATATTTATTGCTTCTACCACGGTAAGCTAATCTGGCTTGATAGCTTCTCAGTAATTGTGTGCTTTTATTGCAGACCTAGAAATAAAAGGATGGTACTCAATCACTCACTGTATGGTACTTTCAGTTCTATGAATAACTGTACTTAAGTCACAACAATATCTTGATTTTAATGTTACGTTCACCATAACACGTATTTCGGTCAGATCATATAAAAGCCAGGGTTTTTTTCACCTTAGGTTTCCTAACTAATTTGCTCGGGCTCGAACTAGTATTCTGTCCTTTATCAAATTATACATCTCGGCTACTGATCTAATGTTAAATAATTGATAAAGGAAGGGCACAAATCAAATTAGGAATAGTCAACTTTAACTGAAATTTATACTTGCTTTTAATTTGATCCATTTTTATAGTCCGCAGAAAATGTATAATTTGACAAATTGCTTAGCAACCAGAAAATATGAGGATGCATACATAACAAAACATGAAAATTTGCAAAGTTCAGAATTGGAGAAAACAGACAACTGTTTTCATGTAGAAAACATGCAAAATGAATAACCAGATTAGCTTTCCAGAAAAAAAAAAAGAGATTAATTGTGCAAACTCCAGACTCCTTGTCTTGTTATTTTCTCTCATCCAGTCATGTTTTCTAAAGCCTTTTCAATTTACATTCAAATAGAATTACAATATATTGAAATGTCAAAGAAAATCTGTGGGGTTCTATGTAAAATATCTTTTTTAAAAATTATTTCAGTCAATTTAAAAGATCTAGTTGAATCAAAAGTATTGAATATCTAAAAAAATCAAATTCACAGGTTCAATACTTATGCTTCAGATCAGACTTTGTAAACATGGATAAAAGTACTCAGATGTCAATACGTTACGCAAAGCTTCACAGATTTCAATGTGTAATGCTACTTTATTGAGAGAAATTTATAACTGGTTTGGGCAACCAAGTGTTACTTATCGCCTGTTCCTCCATGCATTTAATTGCATGAAAGGTGCAGACGTTATCATTGCCTCATGCTTTTCCGTCAATTTAAAAGAGGCTGTGGTAATAGTCCATTATAGTAGCTGGTATGAAAACAGCCTTTATATCATATTTTGCCTTTGATCTGCTTGAATGATATATACGGTTCTGAGAAAGGCCAGTTACATGTAAGCCATTATAAAAAAAAAGAAAGTTATTTTAGACTAAAGTAATATGCTATCATTTCCCTTGACAAAAGATCATCACATCATCATGGTGTATATATTTTCCAACTTAACAAGTGCCGCAAATTACTGTTCATAAGAAAGCGGACAGATCTGAACAAAAATAAGTTCTTGTAGGGCACAAGAACCATTAGAGAAATATGACAAGCTATGATAAATGATGGTAGTTTACTGCCCAATTAGCGTCATCTTGCTAAGTTTTACAAAACCTGGCTGAAGAGTTTCT